GAGTGGCTTGCCGATGCAGCCACTGGCGGCCCGTCGGCGGCCCGATTATATACCGGACGATCCCGAATCAGGTATATCGCACCTTTATGCTATGTGTTACGCTATTTGCATCCATATTCCGGATTCGCTATCAACCCGAGATGTGCTTTGATATTTTAGCTATGATTCATTGTACTGTATCAGGCCAAAAACCGGACTTCCCCATTGTTCCATATATTTATCCATATTTGCTCTATCACTGGGTATATCTGCGGAAATTGATATTCAAATATGGTAATGCATTTGTTTCTATTTGATATTCCCTGACATTACCGTTGTAGGGGATCGTCTGTGGCTCAGCTCCCATATGGGGAGTATATGACTGTATATGGTGGTTGTGTGGAATTCACAATATTGTATTGACATATGGGACTGAATGCCACCGCGTGTCATATTATCGGTTGCTCGATGTGTTAGTAACTCTGTTACCTGGTATGGCTGTGCTGTCGATAAACCCGATCACCTCTTGCCAACTTTCCTGCCATTTCGTGGATGCTTCGTTGCGCTCCTCGACGCCTTGCTTCATTACGATGCACTAGCAATTATTCCCGGTATTTCACAGTTTTGGCGTTGGAATCGTCCGCAGACGACACATGCGCCGCCGTGGTTACCTCTGAGCGACAGATTTTATCGAATGTCGTGGTATCCCAGAATGAGCTGTGAGTGGCAAAATGATATAGTGGCACTGGCTCTACCTACAAACAATACAACTAGACATGCAAGTGCTGGGGGTATCCATCCATATGTTGCCATCGCAGGTCATCAAAGGAACATGGTAAGTTCCCTGTTGCATCGCGACGTGGGCGTAGAATCCTCCAAGCGACTGCTTCGCTGTACCGATGCACTGAAGCAGTGTGATGTGAATGGCAGTTGGGTTCTCAAGACTACATCTTCTTCCGCAACGGAGCCCTTGCTGCTCTGCTCGGGTTGCGGAACGGGTGCTCCGTCGCATTACAGACGTAACGTGTCCTATCAAACACTGGAAAGTGTTTGCTTCTGTACATACCGGTATGGCGGGCTGATGTTATCGTCAGTATGAATTGGATAGATTCACTGTATACGTGCACGGAGAATGACGATATATACTCAGCCCGTATATTGTGAACCTATCCTGTTTGTAACCGCTATGCTACAAGCGATACAGTTCACTGGCAGATGATACCGTCGCATACCCCTGGTGGTGGGAGCTATCTCAAAGCCTCGAAGGCCGAAGATTCGGAGTGGGAACAGGGCTGAGAGGCAAACTTTATGCTTTCAGAGCGTTTTTGCTTGGTTGGACTTGCACCGGGCGGTCGACGGGGGACGACGGAGTCTTTTTTGCCGCTTTTACCGAGCGATATAGCAGGTACTGGAGTTCAAACATTCTACGCCTAGCCGTGCGCCTCATTTCCGCAGTCTGTTGCCCGCGATGACGGCAATATACGAAATGCACAACTGACCACATTGATCTAGCCAGGTGCCATAAGGCGGGCTTTGGAAGAGGCCAAGATAGAGATGTCGCAAGTCGACGGAATCGCATTCACAAGAGGCCCAGGTTGGTCCGAGATGCGAGTCGCTCAAGTTTGTGTTGGGTGAATAATTAATTACACGGCAGGAATTGGCGGCTGCCTCAGCGTGTCCTCTAACGCTGCCAAGAATCTCGCAGCAGCGCTGAACAAGCCCCTAGTAGGTGTCCATCACATGGTCTGTCCTCTTGTCCCAATCTTATTTAACATTGTCTAACTTACCGCCGCTCATACACAAAGCAAGCTCATGCCCTCACGCCTCTTCTAACCACCCCCAAGCCCTCCCTCCCTCACTTTCCGTTCCTGACACTTCTGGTCTCGGGCGGACACAGTCTCCTCGTGCTTGCATCCTCCCTCACGAAGTTCGAGATCCTCGCAACAACCGGCGATGAGAGCGTCGGCCGCGCATTCGACAAGGTCGCGCGCATGCTCGGGCTCGACTGGGGAGAGAAAGGGTACGGCGCCGCGTTGGAAGCATTCTGCGCCGAGGGCCGTCAGCAGTTCGGGAGCGATACCAATGTTGGCCCTGACATATCGATTCCCCGGCCGATGCCGCGTCAGCTCGCCTTCTCGTTCTCCTCCCTCCATTCGAGCGTCGAGCGCTTCATACATGCGCGCGGCGGAATCCAGAACCTGGATACACGCGAGCGCTGGCGGCTCGCGATGGCATTCCAGGAGGCAGCGGTAGCACAGCTGGAGGAGAAGGTTGAGCTTGCGCTGGGGGTGTGCGCGAAGAGGGGACTCAGGATCGGGGATGTGGTGGTTAGTGGCGGGGTGGCGAGTAATATGTATCTGAGGAGCAGGTGCGTTTGCCTGTACCGGTGGCGATGCTGACTGTACTCATGCATGGTAGGCTACACGAGTGTCTGTCCCGATCAGAGAACACTTCTCCGATCAACCTGCTGTTCCCCCCTCCCAATCTATGTCGAGGTATGGTGCACCGCGTTCTGCTGCCGATTGTACTCACAACAGCGTCACTCTGGCAGACAACGCTGCGATGATCGCGTGGGCCGCTATGCACCGCTTCCTTGCGGGAGACCTTGACGAGTACTCTATCGAGCACCGGGCGAAATGGAGCATCGAGGATATTTAATTAGGATGATGGCAGTTTACCAAAGGAAAATCGTACCTGTTTCCCTTAGACGATCGTCCTGAAGGCTGTCAATATGAGTGCGCAAGGTAACTACCTTGTCACAGTATACTTCCTCCTTTCTTTGGGCCATGTTTCTACCTTCTACCCATGACAGTGGTGGATAAGACTGGATCCATGTCCCGGGTGTAGACTCATTATCAAGGAGACAAAACAATAACATTGAGAGTGAATGTGCAACTGTGGCATTTTCACTTCAAAGTGGGAAAACATGGACAAACAACACGAATGATGAAGTCAAGGCCAAGGCCCTACATGTAATAGTTTAACCACATCTACTCAACATCACCTAACCTAGAAGAAATTAGTCCCCTTCAATGCGAACCTCTCCAAACTCCTATAATCCGGCCGGTCCTTCGCAACCGCCCACAACCACGTATCGACGTCCGGCAGCGTGATGCTCTTTATCCATGCCACACCGTCCCCCTCGACTTGCATCGTCCCCGCCAGCTCGACAATCACCTCGCACGCCTCAATCGCAGCTGCGCGTAGGATGAACGCCTGCTCGACGGTCAGCTCGGGGCCCTCCTTTGGAGGCTCCTTCTTTGTATCGGCAGTGGTTTCAGTGGAAAATGAAGGACTAGGTGCTTCTAGGAGTTTGTCCATGGCTTGCCGGGAGGGATGAGGGAAGATAGAGGACAACGAGTGTGTGGCGGCGTTGGATAGGTCAATGATCCCGAGGTAGACTAGCATGGAAGGGATGACGTTGTCAGCACAGATGGGCATATGAGTCGTGTCCGGTATAGGGAAAGGCGGGGGAGACAGCTTGTGGAAGCGGATGTAAACGCCATGGATCAAGAATAGCGCCTTCTTGAAGCAATATATAGCTGGGAGGAAGTACATTTCAGACAGACTTGCGTCGCTGAGGGATCCGATGTACGAGGAGCACTTACGCGTCCCATCTACTACGGCCATATCGCGAAACGCGGGTATCCCCTTCACCAGCCTCTCCAGCACGCCCTCCATATCACCCCTCGCCGTCTTCAGCGCCTCCACCACAAACGCCCCCAGATCCGGATAGCCCCCACTCACAAGTGCCTCGCCAGTCGAATTTAGCGTTTCCGTAACAAGCTTCACGAGCTCGTACGCCGGCCCGCCCAGCTCTCCGACCGTCACCCCTGGTATACTTTCATGGTTCCTCTCCGTATGTACGCTCAAGCCCATCAGCTCCGCAACCTTCCCCTCTCCGACGCTCTGCATTGCCCGCGCTGAGAGCAGGTCTGCGTCGGAGTCGAGGTACATGGAGAAGACGAGCGCGCGGATCGAGTCCCACGCGCCGCGCCCCGTCTGGCGGTGCAGCTCCGCGCGGTAGCCCGAGCCGAAGTTAAGGAGCGCGAGCGTAGAGAGGAAGGTGAGCTCCGCGAGGGGCGAGGGGAAGTTCAGCGGAAACGCGAGCCCATGGTGTCCCGAGACGCGGTGGAAGGTAGTGGTGAATGCGGGGGAGAGGAGCAGCCGCTTGATCGCTTCCGTGTTGATCTAGCGGCATGTAAGCATGCGACGTTAGTATGAGTTCATAAGCACACGGTAGAGGATGGATACGCACCTCTACATTCGCAGCAACTCTCGCAGCATGAGACGACTCCGTAATCGACTTCAGATACGAGCCAGACGGCGGCAAAGGAGGTTCCACAGATGTCATGCTTATAAAAGTCCAATTCTTCACCTGCCTCGCGTCCAAAGTCTCGCTCACCTTTTAAATACGTGGCTGAGTATCGCGTTCTGCTGCGTGACTCAATGACTTCACTGGGGGGGCTCCGCTGAAGAGCGGTCTCCACAACGCCTTGGTGGCAATGGTGAGGAGCAAAGGAAAACATCTCAATTACAGGATCGCCCGACAAGGCTGGCGTCAGGAAGCTGACGTACGTGCAGAGAAACGGAAAACATATCAGTCACGTGCCAATTTCCCCGTGTGCGATATTGACGCGTCGACTGCACTGCTTGTCAGTGCTTGACAGCAATCGGCGAAACGATAGAGAACTTTCAGAATTTTTCGCGCAGGCAGCCGAGCCCGGAAAGGTAATTATACCCCACTCGGGTCCACAGTGCACCACGACTCACCACTCTTGTTTTGATCAGGACACAGCATTAGCGGAGCAAAATTGGTGATACCCTACTCCAATAAGTAAGCCGTGGAGCGGCTGCTGAGTGCGGAAAATCTCAAACTTCTCTATCGTTTCGCCGATTGCTGGAAGTCTATTTCTCCCTCCATCGTCCAGGAATACGGCCTCGGCCATTGCGCAGAGCCTGCTAATTTGTTTACTTGCGGCTACTTGGGAAGAGTGCTTTTGAAGAACCTCGCGCCATCATGTATAGTGTGGCAGTCGCGTCAAGATGCAGGATCCGTTCATTTGTAGCTCTGGGTGGCTTAAATTCGTGTAGACGCTACTCAGCCACTGCTCAGGATGGTAATTCATTTCTGCCTGATTATCGGCCACCTTTCATCGTTCATCTTAACAGACGTCAGAGCCCGACTGACCAGCGAGCTTAAAAATGCCATGAAGGTACGTCCGCGTACACCCGGGCTCCTGACAAGCTCTCTAACTCAATCCATCCAAGAATAAAGACACCTTTGCGTCCACAACGCTCCGAGTACGCCCGGCCTCTTTTCCCTTATAGCTCCGACGTATTCACTTCTACTCCCGGTTCAGTCCGTTCTGGCCGAAATTCAGGCTGCAGACAAACAGTCTCCCGATCAGAAAATAGGTGCGTCGAGTATCGTCTCGATCATCCGCAAGGCAACTCAGAGACGGGTGAGTCAGAGTACTAGCTATACATCGGCTGATCCATACTCAGAAAACTTTCCTGCTAAAATGAACTCAAACTTCAAACAGAACGACGCCGCCGAGCAATTTGTTAAATCATCCCGGCTTGACCTGGCAGAGAAGGAACGAAAGGAAGTGGAGCTGCTCTCTTCGTTCTTGCCTCCTTTGCTTCCGGAGAGCGAGATCGACCGTCTTCTGCGGGAAGCGATGGATGAGCAGGTATCACCCGGAGAAAACCCACACAAAGCCTCCGGTAAAATCTACAAAGCGTTCTACTCAAAGGTCGATAAATCTCTCGTAGATCCTGATCTTGTGAAGAGGAGAGCAGAGGCTCTGCTCAAAGGCCATCAATAACCTCACTGTTTGACTGCGATCCAGGATGCCAGACAGGTGACTCCTACTATACATTGCGCTATTAACATCGAAAACATTGCAAACCATGGACAACAACGACGAACGACAGGAAGTCGTTCGGGTCTTCAGTCTTCTTCTGAGTCTGAGGATTCTGACCCGACGTGGGGTTGGGATGGATCCCGAGCACTGCCCCCAGACACAACCTCTGAAATTTGCTCGGACGTCCGCCACGTCCGCTCCAAAACTTCATCTCGCAATTGCAATAGAGTTTCCGCCACATCGGGTCCCGCGGTGGACCGTTGACCACTGCTTGCTGATGATGATGAAGCGGCATCCCTACTACTCGAAGAAGCGGCAAAATTTTCGCGTAGATTTTGCGTCGGGCCTTGGTTATCTCGCAGAGCCGCCTGCACACTGGGGAGCACGCTCCGCACCCTCAGCAGCTCCTCCACGCAGCGCGACACGGTCCCTGAAACTCCTTCGAGGACGCGGATCCGCTCGTCGATCGCATCTCGTGTGATCTGGTCTAACCGTGTCAGCTGCTCCTCAGTGAGAGTCTCGGGGAGCCGGGTGAACGGAATGCGAGGTCGACGAGACCTCCCTATCTCGTCTATAGGCGTCTGTGCCAACGGCCTAGGAAGACGCGTTTGACTTGAACGATCAGGTGCGGGGTAAGCGGTTCTCTGTGAACCGACAGGTGCGTTCGGGTTGTAAGGTACGTACGAACTCGTAGCGCCAGGGAACGGAGGAGGGGACAGGATAGGTATCAGCTTAGGAATTTCCATTCTGTCGTCCCCATTTGACGTGCCAGTAGCCGGGATGTTCAGGCCTGTTGAATCATCAGACGTCTGCTGACCATTCGTCCCCTGCAAATCGCTGGGTCCCGGGGTGGACGCACTTGTGATGTTATTCGATGAAGAAGCGCGCGAATCCGAGGTGAGCGTTTCCGGGCGAGGAGTTCCACCGTTGAAACGACGCAAAGCAGCCTGTACAGCAGCTTCTCTGGGCGTGATAGCTCGTTCCGGCTCGGATGCTGTCCCTCCTGGCGCAGCAGAGCCGGGAGCGGAAGGGCCATCTCCCAAATGATTTGTGTTGTCGTGTTGAGGTGCAGGTGCCTGTGTCGTTCGTGTCGGCGGGGGCTGTTCCTGCGCAGCTGGCACCTGTCCAGGGAGTTCGGGCTGGAACCACCGCTGGTCCACTCCCCAGGGTTGCCAGATGCCATTCGGCCCTGGGAAGCCTTGGAATATCGGTACAGCCTGCAGAGGTCGCTGTTGCGGATTCTGCTGGTAGTAAAGTGGCTGCTGCTGTTGATTCCATTGCAGCGGGAGCGGTTCCATGCGTACACCTTCAGCAAATTGTCCCGGGACTATCGGAGGTTGCTGGGCAGCGCCAAAGATGCGGCCAAAGAAACCCGGAGCGTTCGCTTGGGGAGGTTGTTGGCCCTGAGGCGGAATCTGCTGGCCCCCTGCTGGCCCAAAAAAGTTGTCCGGAATCGGGATCATACCTGGTTGAGGTCCAGGAGGTCGCGCTGCAGCTTGGCCGGGCTGTGCCCCCTGCGGATTCGTTTCCAGCACTGTTCGCCGACTGTCATACGAGCGTCAGAATGTCACGTCCAGGAGTTGGAAATTTAAGAAGGGCCGCACCATGTCGGGCAGCTTTGCTGTCGCTCCAGCCAGGATCGCAGGCAATGGAAGTGGAAGATATGACCACAGGGCAGCTTCTTGGGCGTCATGTTCGGACCGTCGGGTATCTGTCCCTGAGGTTCAGCCGCGTTCGCGCCTGACTCGCCGGGCGGCGGCGGCGTGTTAGAGAGCGACATCTCTTCTCGGCATATGATGCAGGTTCGGTCCGACATAGCATTCATCTCTTCCTCCGTGGCATTCGGATAGCGCTCGTCCATGTTCCGGGTGGCCGTACGGTAACGTACGAGAGCACGCAACCGAGTGATGAAGGAGCGCGACGTGAGATAGACATCGCGAAGCACGTTGAGCGGTAGTCCGTAGAACGTGACTATTATGCCGCAGAAGGTCAGATACGTGGTTAACTTGAGGAAATCTGGATTTAGGCAGTTAATATAGCGACGGCTGCTTCCAGAGATCCATTCTTACCAGTCGCCAGTTCAATGTAGAACACGTACATGCTCTTGTTCTCCCACGGCGGGGCAGCGGCACCGCCCCGGGATCTCGCTCTGCGCAGGTCAACTACGGAGAGAACGTACTTGGCCATGGAGTTGAGAGCGCTTGCCATCAGAATTGCATACTGGGTAGCGCCCCATCAGCACAAGCAAACGCTCTGAGTGTGCGGGGACTCAACGTACTTCGCTCGCGAACAGCAAATTGCCTCCAATGCCATGAGCCAAGGTACTCTCCACTGCGAATACGAACATGGCCATATCTGTGAAGGCTAGAAGCGCACACAAGCAGTTCATTCGGACATGGAATACAGGTGGAGGTCCTGGATACGGGACTTGGTCCATCTACGCAGCACATTGAAAAGCTGAAGGAGGTGTAATGGAATACGCAGCTTACCGTGTCTATTCGATCTGCCATAAGCCAATGGAAGCATTTGATGAACAGAAGTAGTCCAAACATGAATGCAAAGGGCATGTCAAACTCGTCCCGGAAGATAGTGAAAGCCAGCAAGGACTCTGTGACAAAAAACCAGAGGCGGTCGTACAGACGCTATGAAGCGGTGGAGTTGTCTGTACTTTCCAGTGTATTGACCAAAAGTCAGGACACACCTCGACCTCCCTCGTCTGTAGAGGACCAAGAAATATCCGTTGCATCATCCGACCGCATAGTAGAGCCAAGAGGAAGCCGAAGTTTACAAGGATCTTGGAAAGAACGTATGTAGTATGATAACAGCACGATTGAACAGGACAACTTACAAGAACACTGCGGCTGCTCCTCGAAAGGTAGATCGCTACAGAGTAGAAGTTGCTATAATTCTTTAAGGCATTCAAAACGGCTGCCGATACCGCCACTGTTGATAGGATGCTGTATAGGAAGAAGTGGGACGTCAGGGCCATGGCGAATGGCCGGACTCTGGTTCGGACGAAGTCATTTATCGGCATGTCCACTAAGCCAGTATCCCAGGAGGAGGCCGTAGCTCGGTGTGGCCACAGCGTCAGGGAAATCCACACAGAAGTACGCAAGGTGCTTGATTAGGCGCCCGACTTCAGCGCGTCGACGTGTCTGGCAGCGTGTCCGTGCGAATGTAATCCCTCAATAGGGAGCACCGGAGACATATTTGGCTTGCACAGCCAACACTCTTCGGAGTATGTTTGAGCTACAGTCCGAAGTCTGTATGTTTTTCATCGTTTCCTTTCCGAAGTCTGTCCAGAGTGGCCCTTGTCTAATTTCCTGCCTATTTCGCTTTCCGCTTCCGCAGTTTAACCCCCGTGGCATTTGCCTCGATACCGTCGGGGCATTGTAAGTACGAATCGGTGAGTGATTGGCGCCGAGCTACGGATATGACTGAAGCGCCTTATTCTCCAGCGCTTACAACCCTGGATCAGATCGAGAGTTGCCGGTACCTCAGTCTCTGCTTCAATTCCCCATCCCGATTCTGAGAGATTTTACCGGGCGTGTCATATCTGAGACGCCGGGGGAGGTCGCCATCCCAGCAAGAGATTGATGCCTTATACTGTCTGCTTTTGTGAAATTGACGAAGCTGTGTCTGAAATTCTCACCTGCTACAGTACTTTATAAGGTACTCTGGTCATCACCCTCTAAACACCGAGCCGCTTGACTGCCTTCACTTTGGTGATGTCTTCTACCTTACGCCACCGGATGCCTTCGAACGGAGGACTAAACCGCAAGGCCGGAGGTGACATCAAACCGGAAAGCGGGCCCTCCAGTTCTGATGGGGGGCGGAGCACAATTTATGTGTTGATTATATTGCTATCATTGGCTGTCTCTGCTATCGTCGTTTTCGGGCCTGGTAATGATGTTCCATTGCCTCCTTCATACGCACTGTGTACCCGCGACGGAGATAACATATACACTGTGGATGAGGAGAATAAGCGTGTACAGTGCTTGCTTGTTCAAGATGCCCATATCATTGACGCGGGCTCTCTGGGTGAGTCAGGTGCTATCATATCGCTGCACCGTGAAATAATCATATGCCACCCAAGATGAGGTAAAAGCTCGATGGGGGATCGTTGCACATTCAGCGCAGTCGAGCAACAGCAGTCTCGAAGTTAGATACGTCAAACGAGGGTCGATAATCGTCCCAGGCCTCAGTGGTTCGTAACTGACCTCTAGCCTCTGTATGTTCTCACTTCTTATGCTCTTCAGATTCACATGCGCATATGCTAGAATATGGCGCGAGTCGCCTGCTGCCCCTGGAAGGTGCAAAGACTGTATCAGGTTTGTCTTCCAGCCCTGCGGCACTGAATATCTGTTTCAACCTCCATCGCAGCCGCCGTGGCTTTGGTGAGACGCTTCATTGAGTCTGAGCCCGACGTCGCGAACGACACCTCCAAATATATCGAAGGCTGGGGCTGGGATCACACCGCGTGGCCGATACAAGAATTCCCAACTGCCGTTCGTATTCTAGAACACGCCAAAAATGCGAAATTGACTTGTTCCATCACGATAGGCAGACCTTGAAGCTGACTCAGTAGTCAAGAGTCGTCCTGTCGTGTTACAGAGTAAGGATGGGCATGCTCTATGGGTTTCTCAGGCCGTTCTGCAGTCTATGGAACCCTTGCCTGACCGCATGGAAGGCGGTGTCGTCGTCCGCGATGAGTTGGGGCGCCCTACCGGTCAGTAGATACTCGGTTCCTCGACGACTTACCTGATTCCTTTGCTGGACAGGCGTCTTTCTTGATAACGCCCAAGAACTGGTGCAAAAGCCACCGTTGACTGAGAAGGATCTTCTTCGGCGTTTCAAATACGTGGTACAAGACGCGCTTGCCAATGGGTTGACTTCCATTCATGACGCTGGCTTTAGTCCGGTTTCTCTAGCCTTCTTCAAAGGGTAGGGTGGATCCACCTTTTGCTATGCCCGCACGCATATCTCACTGTTCTGGCAGCCAAGCAGAGCAAGGAACTCTACCTGTACGTGCTTTCTGTGCCCGTGCATCTTTGGATTTTTCACCCTTGCTGAGTATAGCTCCGCATATACGGCATGACTTTTTTCGACGAGACCGCTGATTACTGGGGCGATAAGTCCGAAAAGATTATCAACGCCGGCAACGGCAGGTTAAGCGCTCGCAGTGTGAAGATATTTGCCGATGGTCAGAGGCTCTATACTGTTATATCAACGAGATCACGCTATCTCACCTCGTGTTCTTTAGGCGCCTTAAGATCTGGTGGTGCAGCGGTACATTTCAGACTCAGTTGTTAATCGCGCATACAGTCTGACTGACTTCGTCCGACCTTCAGCTGCACGAGCCATATGCGGATAACCCTGGTACCCGCGGGTTTATGCGTTTGTCCGCCGACGTCCTAAATAATGTGATCCCCCGGTTCCTCAGAGATGGTTGGCAAGTGGTGAGCTTCTCACCTGTGCGGATAACTTGGCAGGTGACATCTGACTCTGGTGAAGAACGTCCATGCTATCGGCGATAGGGCAAATGGCATCGTATTGGATGCTTTCGAAGAAGCTCTGAAGGGTGTCAATGTTACTGCTCTCAGGCCTCGCCTCGAACACGCGCAGATATTGACTAACGCTGATATGGCGCGGATCGGGCAGCTCGGTGGTATGCTTTCTTCTCGGTCTTGGCGGCATACCGGAGTGCACTGAATGAGCACTTCTGTAGTGATAGCGAGTATACAACCTACACATGCGTAAGCCGTTCAGAATCCTCTGTATCGCAACTCATTCGCGCCCCTTCATAGGATAAGTGACATGTGGTTCGCAGAGGATCGATTAGTAAGTTGATGGTTCTTACACCCTTTCGGCTTCTGGTTACTGATTTCGCAATACTCTTACAGGGCCCTGAACGTGTTAAGGGCCTTTATGCCTTCCGTTCTATTATAGATAACGGCGGTCGAATTGCGTTAGGAACCGATTTCCCCGTCGAAGATATGAACCCTCTGGCTGGCTTCCACGCTGCAATTACCAGGGTTACGGCGGACGGGCGCTCACCGCATGGTCCAGGTGGATGGTGAGTGTACATCATATTCTTGGAGGCATTTCGGAATTCATCTCCACCTCACCGTAATGGAACAGGTTCCCTGAGCAACGCCTCACTCGGGTGGAAGCTCTGAGAGGTTAGTCCTTTTGACGAGGCAGTGCCGGACGCATTCCTGACTAGTTTGATTAGGCCTCACGATAGATCCCGCTTATGCATCTTTCACCGAGTCAACCTTGGGATCCCTAGAACCTGGCAAACGCGCTGATTATGTGGTCCTGTCTCAGGATATCATGTCAGTCGACGAGAAGAAGATCTTGGATACCAAGGTGTTGGCGACCGCGATAGACGGCCGCCTTGCCTACGGTAAAATCTAGTCTGCGGACCCTGTGGTGGACACAGCATGCAAGTGGACTGCGGAGAGTTTTCCCGCAGATAGTGGCGTTCATTAGCATATTCCTGTCTCATGATTGCATTCGTTGGGGTGATTCCGAGAGAGGGGTGTCTAATGGATTATTGTGCCGAAGCGATGGTGGTAGTATCCGCTTGTATCTGTCTTCCAGCTCAGGTTCCGCGCAGAGAATGAATGCCCTAGTCGCCGTAGCCACTCACCGGCCCCTTGGATCTTCATGGTTGATTCCCTATATAATCGGCCTCAGGGTATGCAATGGCTAACGGAGCGATAGTGCGGAAGTTCTTGTGGGGCAGGCTTTGGCTATAATTAGACGTGTCGACGCGTCGCGTCCGCGTCTCGTCACACCTTGTCACGCGTCTGTAAGAAGGGAATATTGGCAAGCACGGGCCTCTGACACACTTCACTGTTCTGCTTTTAAGCGCAATGCCTGGTTTTCAAAGCGTGGTAGCAGGGACGAAACGGAAATCCGATGGACCAGACTTGAGCGGAGCACCGGGGAAGAGGCCAGCGCTAGATGACAACGCGGGTTCGACAGGCGCCGGGACGTGCTGGATGGTACAATGGTGCGCCTTAATCTATAAACACGCTCGTTGCTTGGTGAGACGGTATACGTAGGAGGGTTCCTCAGCAGAAGAAGCATAAGACATGGGATGGAGACGCTGTTCTGGTAGTAAACCGGGGTGGGGCTAACTTGGTTAATCTGGAAGGCAAACTGTACGCCATGACACACATTGCAACCACCGATGGGCTGTATTGACTTGTGTACAGAATAGCGAGCGGTAAGGTCAACGAATCTGTGGAAGAAGGGAAAGAATTCCATCTGGGTGGCAAAGACCTCGAGATAGATCATCCTATCCCATGGTCGGAATATCTTTCCGGTGCTTGCTTCGGTGCAGGCACATCATCAAGCACTGCACCGTCTACCTGCCATATGCTACCTAAACAGTCCAAACCTTTCAAGCCCGTCGCGTTGAATCCGGATCATGTGAGGTCGACATCCAGAACTGCAGGTATTGCGGCCACCCCAAAGAAAGGCATTCAATTGGAGCCGGTGGACTTGATGGCAGACAACCGCATATACGGGAGTCAGAAAGATTCTTACTGGACAGCGAACTGGAGAAAGCATCAGCAGAAAAAGCATAAAACATGGGATGGAGATGCATTCGTCATGCAGAAGGGTGACAAGCTGACCCTAGTATCTGAAACCGGCAAAATGTGACCCATACACCGTATATGCGCTACATGTATACCTCTGACTCTGTCTTTTCTTTGCAGATTGGGGAGTAAGAAGTGCACCGACTATCCTCTATACAGCGGCTACCACACGTTCGTCGGCTCCAGAGAAGTCGAGTTGGATGCAGAAATCCCCTTATCGCAGATGCCTACTATTACAGGCCAAGTCGAGGAACCTGTCATCGATCCTGAGTATGATCCCGCGGCGTACTCTAGCCAAGCTACTACACCTCTCAAGAGTACATCAAACGCCCTCAGCTCTCCCACTGCCCCGCTCAATTCTGCCTCGACGAGCAAGAAGTACGTTGCACCCGCTAACTTCTACGCCAAGGTGCCTCAAAAACCAAAGAAATATGGTCCTTTGTACGTGTATGCGCATTCCTGTTGGTATCCCCTCACTCTTGCTCGATAGGCATGACCCCGAAAATGAAGGCTCTGTAGTAATGAAAGCTCCTACGCCGGAGCACATAGCTAGATTCAACAAAAAGTAGTACCAATGCCCTACGTCTCGCCCGAGCTACGTTCCGACTAACCTTAACGTCCAGGAACTCCCCTGTAGTTCCTGTCGTGATAGATCCTATCCTTTCCCGGCGTCTCCGCCCGCATCAGAAAGAAGGTGAGTGTTCATGGCTGTCGTATTGTGGAGGCTAAATTGACGCACAACTACCAAGGTGTCAAGTTCATGTATGAATGCGTTATGGGTTTACGGAAGCACGAAGGTCAAGGCTGCATCCTTGCGGATGAGATGTGCGTTTGTCGTAACCCGTTCGTTCTACGACACTGACGTGTCATAATAGGGGTCTGGGCAAGACACTTCAGGTTCGTCAACATGACTCTAGCGTATCCTAGTTTCGCACTTCTCATTTCTGACCTAACCCTGGCAGACAATAGCTCTCGTGTGGACGCTTCTCAGTGAGCGGTATCTCACGATGTCACACTAGCTCATCTGATGCCTTCTTTAGAGCAGAATCCGTACGCTGGCGTAGGTCCTGTGGTGGGCAAAGTGCTCATTGTATGTCCAGTTTCCTTGGTAAACGTGAGTATCGTACAGATTCCAGCCTTATTTCACATCTCCTCTAACTTTTGTTTAGAACTGGAAAATGGAGTTCCATAAATGGTACGGAAGGCGTGTCTGTATCTTGAGGAGTGATCCCTGATCAATCACCGACGTTAGGCTGGGGAAAGACCGCGTCGGGGTCTTCATTGGCGACAAGGACAAGAACCAGATCAAGCAGTTTATCAACTCGTGAGTTAATGCCGTAATCGAGAAAGGTCTCTCGCTTATTACAGCACATTAATAGCAAGATTCACCAAGTACTGGTCATCGGCTATGAGAAGTTGCGATCAGTCATGTAAGCCTTTACAGCTCTTTTGGAGACTCAACCCTCAGTGACATATGCACAGCGAAGCCTTGGCGTATTGCCAGTACGTTTAAATTCGCTGGTAATTGACTCTAATTATGACCTGAACCGGATTATCATAGCCCGCCCATCGGCTTGATCATATGCGACGAAGGTAGAGGCCACCTTGAGTGCTGTGCAAAGCACGCCTGACCGTGTACTCTAGGCCATAGACTGAAATCCAGTGAGAACAAAACTTCAAAGATGTTCCAAGCCCTGAAGACTCCCAGAAGAATTATACTCTCGGGAACGCCTGTGCAGAATGATCTCGGGGAGTTCCATTCGATGGTACGTATCTCCTGGATATACCTTCGGCTTCCTGTTGAGTATCTTCAGGCCGACTTCTGCAACCCTGGGCTCCTGGGTCTGTATCTTCCTACTTTCTACCTGTATATATTAACCGATTTTCTAGACGATTATAAAACCTTCCGACGGGTATATGAGCAACCCATCCTCAAGAGCCGTGCACCCGACTGCACATCGAAGGAGGCTGAACTGGGGCAGGCTCGTCAAGCACAGGTAGGACTTGCCGAACCAAGTGTTGTCGTCACTCTTGACACTCTATTCTGTTGTAGTTGACAACGATCAGCAAAAGCTTTGTCCTGCGAAGAGAAGCCAGTATCCTGGGCAACTATCTGCCTCCCAAGTATGAATATGTGGTGTTCGTGACGCCCACGTCTCTCCAGTTGTCGATGTTCTCGAAGGTCCTGAACGTGGATAAGCTTGATAACCTCATCGGCGGCTCGACAGCAGAGTCGCTCGCTCTCATCAACATTCTGACCAAGCTGAGCAACAGCCCCGTGCTCCTCAAAGCGGTTGCTGATAAGGCGAAGATGTCGCCCGGACAAGGGGGCAAGATGATCAAAGCGAGCTCTATCCAAGAAGCTCTCAAGCTCTTACCAGATAGGATTGTACCAGAGGATGTTTCTATGAGTGGTAGGCGTAAACCTTGACTTATCGGTGACCACATCTGAGATCAAATCAATACCCAGGGAAACTGACAGCCCTGGCCAATCTGCTTCAGGCATTACGAGAGGTACGTGAAGCAACTGCAGGACTCTCACTCGTACTAACTCGCTGAATGCCCAGTCGACGTCTGAGAAATGCATTATTGTATCCCACTACACGTCGACATTGAATGTAGTCGAGGCCTTCTGCAAGAAGAAGCGTTATACTTACCACCGCCTGGATGGGTGCGGATGGTCTCTCTGACCGTAATAGCCCCGACCATTCATTTCTTCCATTTAATGTAGTCAAACACCGCCGACGAAACGACAAGAGTATGTCAACGACTTCAATAAGTCATCACAGGCGACTCGGTGTACGTACTTGACTCACAATAGTTGGGGTACATGGCTGATCTGCGTGGAACAGTTTTATTCCTGTTGAGCGCCAAGGCTGGTGGTGTGGGGCTGAATCTCATCGGCGCGTCAAGATTGGTTCTGATCGACTCAGACTGGAACCCAAGGTTTGCAGTTTCCTAGAATATTTGTCGAGATCTATGATTCATCTCCACCCTAGCCACGATTTACAGGCTATGGCTAGGATTCATAGGTAAGCTAGTGTGGTATTATAGGTCCTATCCTTCGGCTGAACCCACCATCCAGAGATGGACAGAAACATCCGGTCTTCATCTACCGCTTCTTGACAGCTGGTACCATCGATGGTGAGTGCGCACGCGTTAAGTCATTGCAGAGTTATCAAAAAGTCTGTGCAGAGAAGATATATCAGCGTCAAGTGACAAAATTAGGCCTGGCAGATTGTGAGTTGACGTTTGAGATATATTTTGAATGAGCTGACCTCATGTTGCTGTAGCTCTGATGGGATCGGTAAGCCAGCGTCTTCACCTCTTCTTCAAGGTACCTACCCAGTCACGTAGAGCAAGGCTGAGTCGAAGTCAGATTCCTTCTCCCATAAAGAAGTAAGTCCTCGCTCTTTCACGAGAATACTGCCTCTGACTGTTCCGTTAGCTTCGTGATATATTCAGAATTCATCCAAACACCGGGTGTCAAACGCATGACATTCTGGAATGTCCTTGCGACCCGACGAATGGTAGGAAGCCTGTGGAGCACTCCTCGCCTAGCATCTGCCTCGATGAAGATGACGAAGATATGGGGGATGTGACTTCGGGCTTCGTCGTTGCTTCACAGCTGAAGTCTGAGGATATCAACAAGATGGACAAGGCCGTGAGTAGACACGATGTCCCCCTTCAGTCAACATTGACCGAGAGCTATAGTATCTCCAAAAGCAAAAAGCTGCTCTCGCAACCTTGGGCGAATGGGCACACATCAACTGTCTCCAGAAGTCTTCGAAGATAAACATACATGATCGCATCCTTCGTGATCTCGTTTACTCTCCGGAAGATGAGGTGGAAGACGAGGAGCCTACGGAACCTAAATCCCGACTGGATGCACTACTGGAGGCTGCGGATTTCGACAATATAGCTGCACTGGACGAACCGAAGATGTCGCTCTCTCCCAGGGATATTCCTGGAGGGTCAATATCGTTCCTCTTTGAGAGAGGTTCGAAGGCTCCGGTAGAGGAAGGAGAGGAAGATCAATAGACGCTTACGCCTAATTCCAGTCACGGTATCCAATACTCGGCGCACAATGTTCGTATAGATGTAGAAGTTCCAGTGTAGCATAGCAATGTACATAGAACAAGCAAAGATCATAATACGCCCAATGGGACATGCAGTGATCGTGGCAGAGGGCTCAGTGGCAGAAAACCCTAGTGTATGATATTATTGATAAAATACAAATTTACAAGTGTGTCGCGTAGTCCCGAGAGGAAAAAACAAGGAGGTCAGAATGACGGCATAGAAAGCAACTTTGCAATATCACGACGTCGATAGTAATCACGGGGATGAACTCCCATAGGCAAAGAGATCCAACGTGTCGTCCGACGAAGGAAACAAGTCCACAGTTGGCAGCTCAGGTTCAATCGCGTTCACGACCCAGGGATTGCTTTCCGGGGAATCACTGTCGGGCAAATATCTCGCAGAACCGATCGGCGCTATCTCCGCGGGGGAGCTACTCGACCTGGCATGCGCACGAGTCCCATTCAGGGCCTTAGGACAAGGGGAACCGATGTCCGACAGAGCAACTGCACGAGCCTTCGTGAACGAAGCGATCGGATCGGGCGACGAGGTCTCGGCACCAGGCAGGGCGAGCGGGTCGCTGCATGCCAACGTCGACGAGTAGTCATCCTCCTCTCGGACAGGCTGAGGCACGACTCGCTTCAACTTCCGTCTCTTGGGCATCCTCGCCTCTCCGGGGGACTCGGTCTTCCTGACCCAACACCCAATCATCTCCTCCCACTCCCACTCTTCCTCCGCGTCCCCATCGCGCCCCCGCTTCCCGGCGAACGCGGCGCGCTCGCTGCGCTCCACCTCGTCGATTAACAAGAGTTTGCACTCCTCCCACCTCTCCGACTCATCTTGCGAGGTGAACAACGTCGATGAGGAGCGGAATGTCTGTTCATACGTCTGCTCGAACGCCTTGAGCGCAGAGACCCACCACGCAGCCTCTAGCTGTAGCGTTTAAACACTTGGTCAGCTCAACGTAACGCAATAGTCCTGACGCACCACGATCCAGCCGTTTAGGTTGTGCACTGCTGTCTCTGGCTTCCATTCGGATCCCCAGAACATGGGGAGTACCGCCCATATGGTCAACGAGACAAGGACAACTGCCATGACGCATACTTTGAGATAGGCTTTCCGCGCCTTCGTGGTGACTGGATCGTTGTCCCAAAAGCCTTTGGAGAACGGCGGGTCTGGAGGAACTTCTGCATGGGAACCCTCCGGCTCATTAAGCTCTTCTACCACAGTCTGGCGAGAAGCAGCAGCAGATTCATTATCCTGAGGTTCCCGAGAGTCTTGATCCTTTGCCATCGAACGCGCTGGTGGACCGGCCGACATGGTTGGACTTGCTCCTCAGGCGGTTCTCCAGCTAACGAAGGGAAGTACGGAGGACGGCCAAAACCGCATTTCGAACATGCTTCAATCTGGTCTGAACGCCCTACCTAATCCTGTCAGCCACGCAGCTTACCCATCCGACGGTGGCAAAAGATTGGGATGCTTCCCAGAGAGGCGTCATGCGTCAGGCGGTGAAGTATATCGGGACGATGCATTCCCCGCGCGGACGTGTTTATTCCATGAGAGGCAGAGACAAGCCAACCTTGTTCAACAAATTAACATATACGGCCAACATATGGCTGCAAGGGTGCTCGATGGCTGCAAGGAGGCCGCATAGATCTGATGATGAAACGGGTGCTGAACATGGTCAAGGCCTTGTCACCACTATCCACTCCGAAGGTCCGCCGCCAGCTGTATGAAGCGTTGTGGCAATAATAAGCATAGGCTACTGTTGGATGTTCATGTTCCTGCATACAAAACTGCGAGCAGTGAAGCCAGCATACAACATGTAGAGTACAGCCTGAGTAAAGTCAGGTAAAGTCGCGGAAGCAACAGCTCCCCCTCGGCAATCACTAGCGAAGAATTGTGAGATCGGAAGTAGATCATGGATCTCAGAGCTCGGTGAGCAGAAGTGGCAATAGTCGTACAGATGATCTACTTTAATACACACGAAAGCCGGACGACCCAGTAATATAGTGCACGGCATGCAGAACAGTACAGCATAATCGGCGAAGAAGACGTAGATAGATTGACATGAAAGTGTCAATTGGGTCCAGAAACTATCGTACAGCTCACCAGTCTATGATTGACGACCTCTCGACCTGCCACGCCCAGTCTTGCTCTTCGACTCGCTAGTCTCGGGAAGTTGAACCGGTCTTTGGCAGACTGGACAGCGTCCAGAAACGTCCGTCAACCACGGATCCAAACACGTTTTCTACAGCACAGTCAGCACATCCTGCGGCTGCACGAATCAATCTAAGTGACTCACGTGGAATACATGTCCGCAAGCCAGTAGCCTCAGAGGCTGCGGGCCCTCCCCTGCATCCTGTAGCTTCAAGATCTCTTCACGTTCCTCTTCGGTCACCTCACCGACACGCAGTTCCTCGATAGGTTCATCACCTGAAGTATCTCCGTTCTCACTATCTCTGGCTTCGGTGTTGCTATTGGACTCTCTCTTGGCACCCATGTCAGCCAATCCACGTATCCTTTTGGGCTCTTCAAAATCCAAGAGGCATATCGCACAAGCGGCCCGATTCTCTTCCAACCTGACGAAAGGATAATCTCCTTGTTCCCAATTATCTTCCCATGCTAACTCAACCTCATCCTTCTCATCATCTTCGTCCTTGCTCTTATCTTGGTTTCCTCCGTCTTTTCGATTGGATTTCGCTCCCTTCGATTTCGTGAATTTACGAAGGAAAGCGAATCTTCGTCTTCGCCGACGGGGAGCGACCAGCTCGTTCTGCGGAGCCTTGGGAGGATATGTATAGACAGGCGCAGGGATAGCTAAAGGAGAAGCCTTATCTTCGTCTGGAGGAGCGGGGATGTACAATACCAATGGGATACGTTCCACAACGGATTTCGGCAGTTTCCCGATCTCGGGTTTGATGTAATGCGGGTTCTGGAGAGGATGACGGCCCAGGAGAATGAGGGTTATGTTCCAGAAGAGCTAAAGTGACGATGTTATGACACCACTCAGGCAGTTGACGAACACGACCACTCACTATGATCAGGGGTCCGAATATAAATACAACTAAGCCCACGACTATAACTTCCACCACCGTAAGATACATGATACAGAGGATGCCGAACGTGAGCCACCAAATGTGCGGTGCATCGTGCCGGCAAGTGTTCACCGACGTGTATTCCAAGATATGTGCGATTACGAACCAGGTCAGAGTCAAAACAGAGGAAAGGAACGACATCCTATAGCACAGTCAGTTTATCGGTTAATTAAGAGTCGTGATGAACGGATGCGACAAACCGTGAAAACAAACGTGCATGAGGTCGTGTCGATGCTTCATTATTGTTGCTGCCGTGGCTCGACCTGCCGGTGCTTGCCGCATTATCAACCATGCGAGTAGCAGCGCCGGCTCGATTGGCAGCTTCGGTTTGTGGATATGGTCCGCGGGTACGACCGGTCTCAGCCGTCGACAGCACATTCTGCCTTTCGCTGTCTGAAAGGTCAGAACGGCCTTCACCTCTGACGGGTGCAGTACTCACAGGGCGGAATTCTGCCGGGAAGTGCGATCCCGGGTGTACCCCCACACTCCCATGGAGCAACCCATCAAAATCTTACCGACCCAGAGAGCATTCCAGATTCCCAGAGGCCTAGCACAGGCCTGCCACTCATCGTATTGTGGCATGGTTGGACTTCGTCGGTGTGCTGCATATCCCAGCAAAGTAATAACGATGACAATCTGCGTAAGAAGTAAGCATGCATGCACGTTGCAACCTCGATACATGGTGTCCTTCCTGATGAGTTACGCACCTGCATAAAACCGAATGATAGGGTCCACACGATGGAAACTAGTGCCTTCCGCGCTTTTGTGGCGTACCGCCCATATCCTAGGAAGGTCATGATCTTGCGGTAGCGGGGCGCATTCGGCGGCAGAGGCTCAGTCACATCGGCAGGAGGAACGTATGGATCGGCTATAGGATCAGAGTCGCCTAACATGCTAGCAGTAGCAGGGTCTGTCCAGTGAATCGTGGTGCGCTCTCCGCGGGGAGAGACGGGTATTCGCACAGGGCTAGGCATAGGCCGTATTGAGAGACCCGAATCTCGCACCGGTACTCTCGGTCGTGCAGGCTCGAGTGCAGGAAGCTCACTGTGCATGCGATTCAGGTGGCGATGGGGGCTAAAGACGTCGTATCCTTCCGAGTATCGATGATGATGATGATGATGATGATGGGCTCGAGGTGCATGAGACGCCCGGGGGAGGTCTCTCCTATCGCTGGAACTGGGAAGCAACCTCTCTGCCGCACTGGATGACCCTATTACCTGACTCCTTGGCCATTGCTCTGCAAATTCGACAGAGACTGAGTTGTACCCCTGGGAATCCGGATCCGGTCCAAAGACACGCATAGGCGGGCGTGGTAGCTCATGTCGAGCGATGTCAATGTCGCCAGTGGACCGAACCCTTCGGAGAATATCCGTACTTTCCTGAGCAGACGAGCGACTGCTAGCCATTGCCACAGTGTATCACAGTCCAGTAGTGGGGCCAAGTTCACGAGATGGAGGTGGTCCGACTGGGCGTCAGTGCCGTCTCGGGCTTAGCCAGATGCGATCATGCAAACTCCGGAGTATTTATGGATACAGCTCAACCAAGCACTGCAAGTTCAAGGCCCTGGTACCGAAACGAGCGACAGCAGCGACGCACTGTAAAGACACCTGCAGGGAATAAGGTCTGTGGCCGCCACTGCCGCACGCATGCGCGGCGTTATTACGCGTCTCGCTTACTAAGTCTAGCTGCGTACTGCACCTCTCAATACATCGCAGTCGATTTGTTCGAGCTCCTGCATACACAAAGTACAAGGACGGAATATGGCACAGTATCATATACCCTGACCGAATCGAAACATCATCTAGCGTAATTCCTTGGTGTTCGTGTGGCAAGGCGTGGGCGTCTAGATCTAAGTGCGGGCAGAGACCGATGCCCCGGTTTGGAGAACAGTTTCCTAGAATGATCTTTGCTGGACCATGACGCCGACATTGAGAATGTCCTTGGAATGAACAATGGGACTCTGCGGGACATTTATTATGATCTCTGAGAGTTAGGGGACATATGCATGTTATTCCCATTAATATGATCTCTCATTCTTTATGTCTCTGCCCAAGTCCCACTTTGGAGCATGCCAGGAAAGTGTTCTGCCACCTATCTCATGAACGACGAATGTCCGGTGCCGGGACATCGGTCCTTGCCCGCGGTGAGATGGACTCGGAAGGAAGCAGAATCGGGCGTCACGCCGCTATGAATCCTGACATCGATATCGCCATATCTGGCTTGCTCGTAAAGGGATTCTCAACCAGTGCAAGAGCCACGACGCGAATACATGGTGCCACAGTTGTGGCGTGACGGAATGATAAGACCCTTTCCCAGGTACTTTAGAGATACATTATCCAAGGCAAGATTATACTTGGTAAATGGACAACTGCTATCTGCCCTTTACTTCTCGCCAGATTGGCGTAAGGGCCTGAGCTACTGTATTGGCCGCCACTTCTAACTCACCCCGCTCCTGTTCGTGAGGTATAGCGTCAAACAGACGTCTGCTTCGCCATCGATCCGGGTGAAATCGTCTATGAGACTTCTCCACGAAGACCTTGTAGTCCTGTGTCCGCATATGATGCTTAACTTCAATAAAGAACTTCTCCACAGCAGACCACTCGACGTCTTCGACTTTGAAGGTAATAGGCGAGTGGAGAACAGGCCATGGTACAGCCTCGAAGGTCAAGGGTTCTTCATCTTTGCTGAACTTGGTATTGTCGAAGGCTTCCGAGAGGAGCTTATAACGTTCCAGAGCTCGCTGGGACGTCCAAACCCCTCTGGACCACCTCTCCCATTGCTGGCGCTTGCGCTTCTCTCTCTCATCCTTCTCCCGTCGGGCGGCCGATTCCCTTGCTAGACTCTCTCTTCTCTCCTGCTCCTTCTTCTCTTGTTCCTTCCGCTCTCGTGCAGCGCGCGCAGCTTGCTCTTGCAATCTCCGCTCTCTCTCCGCGGCTTCCTTTTCTGCTCTTTCTTGCCGCTCTCGTTCGCGGCGAGCCTTTTCCCACAAAGGCCTATCTTTCTCCAGGTCAGCCAACTTACGCCGCGATTCTTCGATGGCCGCCAGCCTCGCCTGCTCTTCATCATCCACTTCTGGCTGGGACGGATCGGCATGCGTCTGAGGCGAAGGTTTACCTTCCACATCCGTGCCTGTTGATCATATTTCATTAATATCCTGAACGCAGGGAAATAAGCTATTCCAAATAGGAGTAACTTGCCGTTAAGACTGATATCATTTTCTTCTGGAACATCAGGGAGGACGTCATCCACGGGAGGTCCATGCCTGTGCTGCTTCGCAGCTGTAGATGTGCCTCGCACATCCTTCCTCAGCTTCCTTTCACGAGCGTTCTTCTTCCCTGCGAGATCCCGTTTGTTTCTTGTCGGAGATACGGTACGTGCGCGTTTGAAAGACCGCGGGAGTTGGTCGCCGTCAACGCTTACGTTACTTGTGCCGTCTGGCGTCTGGCTCGAAGTGAAGTCAGACGAGACTTTGTCACTTTGTGAGCTTCCATGAGATGCGCAGAGTGGACAGCCGAATCGTACCTTTGCGTTTCACACACTCTGGTTTCCGCGTATACGGTGGTTGAGAAGTGGGGAGTACCTCATCTTCACCGGTGAGGTCGATCATCTCCCCGTCTTTCCTCTCCCATTCTGCGGCTCCATTCTGGAAGCGTCGCGCTAACTTTTCTCTCCTGGAGGTCCTGTTGGCTTCTTTCAACTCCCTAAGCTTGTCCCGAAGCTTAGAGCCTACAGTGCGAGTACGCTCATTTGCTTTAGGCTGCGGGGTAGCTCCGTCAATAATCATCCCCTCAACTTCATCTTCCTCATTGCTACTTCCCAACTCGTCGTCTGAGCTGTCCCAATCCGACTCTGGGTCTTCCAGGACCTCTTTCCGGCGTGGCCGCTTCGACGATGGAGTCATTGGGGGTGCTTGTCTTTCCGGAGACAGAGTGGCATATCTTCGCTTCGAGCCTGTGGCATTCGGTGGTAGCTTATCAGATTCGGTTTCGGGAGCCCTGCCTTTGCCCTTGTCACGGACTATGGTCGTGAGCGCGGGCGGTGCTCGGACGGTGCAAGTGTATTCGGGATCGAGTTTATAGATGTCCCATAGGTCTTGGTCAAATTCGACGATTTCTCTGTTTGTTTCCTTTAGCACCAAAAATCAGGGCTCGTTATACCCAGTGAACTAAATCCCCGCACGCTGAGCCACAGCACTCGCGGGCCGGCCTCTGGGGGGCGGCGGAGCAAAAGGGACACAAGTTTCAGCGGTCTACTCACCCGCATAAGTCTACGTTCCTCGGCCATGCGCCCTCATTCTGAACTCCGGATTCCCTCTTCGCGGTCGGGACAAATCTCCAGGTACTCTGTCCGTCAGGGCCTGTCTCAATGACAACACGCTTGGGCCTGTATAACTCTTCGTTGAGAGACAGCTTATTGATGTCCGGTAACGACTCCCGCCACGCTGATGCTGTTCCAGGGTGAAAGGACGCGAAAGACAGCTTGGAGCCCGTGTGGCGGAGGAGGCGACCTGGCTGCGACGAATCATATCGACCTGGGGACGAATTTTCAATACTTTCAGACATAGAGATACATCCAGAGTAGCACCAAGAGCTCTTCAAGCAAGATATTGCACGTAGAGATACAGCAAGAAGTGCAGTCTTGTCTACAACGACGCCTCCATGCTGAACCACTGCGGGGGGCCACGCGGCGAGCACGTGATTATGCACGATCATTGTACGCAGAATTCGCCCAAGCCCACCGAACGCCCACAACGCCCAGGTTGCATCGATAGGGCTTTTCGCCTCTCAAGAGCCGTATTTCATCGTGATTTCGATTGCTATTTCCCCCCCTTCGCTGCAGAACCAATGCTCGGTTACACGCGCAGGAGCTCCTTCGAACGTTTGTGGCCAAAGCATCCAAAGGAGGCAATACGCGATCCAATGTGACGAGTCAGAAGGGTGACGTGACTAGGTGAGTACCCGTCAATCATTACCCGGTCTGGGGAAGGCAATACAGTCCACTGACTCGGGTTGATTCCCTTGAGTACTTGTGGCGGCTGGTGGCCCTAGCCACATTATCCTTTACCACCATGTCGAAGCTCCGTGACTTCCAGAACGAGATCGAGGAGATACACGATCGCGAGGTATCAAGGCAGCGTGCTCAAGGGCTAATAGATGTGGATAAGGAGAACAAGAGACCAATACGTCCTGCGCCAGTAGAGGTGAAGCCGGAGGGCGAGTCCAGTGCGTCTGGGGAGAATGGCAACAGCAATGATCTGGAGGGGATGCAATTGGAGATACAGGTGTGTCAATGCAATACTATAAGGGTCCCCATAATTAATGTGGACTCCAGACGCTCCTGTTATCCGGAATTGAAGCAGATCATGATCGTGCGAGAGATATGATCGCTCAGCTGCTGACGAGAGCAAAGGGGGAGTGCATCTTCCGCATAGGAACTCGACCCCCGAACACAAGACTCTTCAGTGGCGAACCATTAGATGGTCCGGGATGGTCTGGCGTGACAAGGACATTGGAGGAGGTCGACACGCTATGTAAAGAGGTTGTTGCATGCACCGAGGAAGTGGGGGGCAAGGCGTCCATACTGCACAGGGCGGTGACAGGGCAGGCTCGCGCGGCCCTGTTGCTTCGATTACCTCCTCCAAGCGTCGCGCTAACCCCGGAAGTTCGTGTAGCCGTAGTTGGCAATGTGGACAGCGGCAAGTCCACAACGTTAGGTGTACTAACACGAGGTGCGTGTCTGGGAGCAATTCAATCCCGTGAGGGTATTTTGAATATCATTAGGCGGCCTGGATGACGGAAGAGGCCGGGCACGAGTAGGACTGTTTCGGCACAAGCACGAGATAGAAACTGGAAGGACATCCAGTGTGGGAATGGAGGTCAGTTGCGTGCCCGCTCATTCAGGCAATATTCAGAAATTCGACGCCGCCGTAGATACTGGGATTCTCCCCAGATGGCTTACCGATACTACCGAAGACTGCGAACTCCATGGATTTAGACACCATCCGACGCGAGAAGATGGGCTGGGAGGAAATCTCCGTGCAAGCTGCCAAGATTGTGTCATTCATTGGTGCGGACGGCGCACCACCTTGTTGCAGGAGCGGATTCATCTAACTTGCGGTGGGTCGTAGATCTCGCTGGACACGAGAAATATTTGAAGACAACGCTATACGGCCTCACCTCTGGAGCGCCGGCATGCGTCATGCTCATGGTCGGTGCCAATGCCGGACTGATCGGAATGTCGAAAGAGCATCTCGCTATCTCTCTTGCTTTGAGTGTGCCGGTGGTTGTTTGTATTACGAAAGTGAGGCCGTTGGATTCTATGTATTGTATACTGATGTGACGAGCGTAATACAGGTTGACATGACCCCTCCGAATATTCTGGCGGAAACCATCAAGCAAGTGGTGAAAGTTTTGAAGAGCCCCGGCTGTCGGTACGCATCACTTGCTCGACTCCGTGAATATCGTTTCACCTGGTGTACGTCTCAGGAAAACGCCGGTATTTGTGAAGTCGAAAGAGATGGCTATCGAATTGTCACAAGTTTTCGCAAACGAGCGGTGGGTTTCCGTGTGATTCCTGTAGCCGTTTGTCAGAATTGAACTGATCAGGGCTGATTAGTCTGTGCCCAATATTTCAGCTTTCTAACGTCACCGGCGAAGGATTAGATTTCGTAAGTCGACTCTGTTCGACTGTTCTGTTGTTTGACAATATATCTGCTATCGATGGATGTAGGTCCGTCTATTTCTAAACCTTCTCCCATCAGATGAGCACGATACCACCAAATTCATGAATGATCAGCCGCTCGAGGCACGTAGCTTCTCTTCTGTCGGTAATTAAGTCCTCCCTGACTTCGGAGCATCATACAGTACTCCGTCACAGATGTCTGGTCTGTGCCATATGTTGGGACTGTCGTCAATGGTATCTTGAACGGAGGCACGGTTAAGACCGGCGAGCAGGTCCTGCTGGGACCTGACTCGAACGGGAACTATCAGTCCACGGTCATCAAGAGCATGCAGCGAAAGAGGTATGGTGCATGTGGTGGGCGAAGGTCGCCGCGGACAACTGATTGATGCCGTCTTTCCCTTAGAGCGCCGGTGACGACCGCGGAGGCCGGCCAGTGCGTTTCTTTCGCACTGAAGCGGATACGACGTCAAGCGGTTAGGAAAGGCATGGTGATTGTACATAAAACGGAGACACCGCCGCGAGGTACACATTCTTTCACAATTCAAATGCAGTATTTGGTCATCGCTGAACCTTTTCCCCCCGTATTTGACTAATAGCGATTAGGAGGTTCGAGGGTCAAGTGCTCATCCTGTAGTACGTAACGATTTGCAATGCGCTGCGGGCCGTCCTGATAAGAGTTTTCCCTCAGCCATAATACAACCTTGCAGAAGAACTATCAGGTATGCTCACAATTCTTTTATGCCTTCTTTGCTTGATGTAATCCTGGGATGCGCCACCCTGAAGGCTATGTTACATTGCGGTGTAAGTGGGTCTCCTTTCGGTCAATGTTCGTGGAGGGATCCTCACGTATCAATGATTTAGGCTATACGACAGACGGTACGGATAACGGATATGGATCACCCTCAAGGGATCCTGCGTACGGGTGACCGTGCCACTGTTAAGTTCGAATTCATATCCCACCCCGAGTTTGTCAAGGAAGGCATGAAGCTGCTATTTAGGGAGGGGAAGACAAAGGTACGCGAAGTGACGTAGAACGTGATTGACTTATATTCACGAGCCGCATGGCAGGGTTTGGGTGTCATCACACGATTATTGGATTGAGAGGGTTGCGGTTCCGGCTTGCCAGTGAATCCCGTGCTTCCATCTCTCCTCTTGTACTTCATAGGTACTCTGTATGTACTACATAGGGCTACACTTTGTCCTCTTTCTACTCTTGGACTACTGGGACTACACTAATCACGACAAAGTGGTAGCTTGTGGGGGCTATAAATCCGTTTGACCCTAACCTTGCGAATGGGTTAGATTCTCCGTCTTACGTAAGCTGAAGGCAGCTCTTCGAGCACAGCCACCATCCTGCCTTGGTCCTCACGTGGGTCAAAATTTCCCGCCGTCCGTTTTGGGTGAGGCCTTCGCTGCAGGCTTGCTCATTCCGTTCCGTCCACAGCGCACAACTGCTTTCGCTGCTGCTGGCGAGGTCTCGTCGTCGTCTCTCGCGTTCCACAACGAGGATAGCATCTCATTCTTATAGAGGCCTTTGTTTCAACATAGACTGTATTTCTACGGGCCACGAGACGAACCCTCGCCGTCGATCTCTAATCGGATATCCATAGATTTCTCGCTGGGCCTTTGGCGTTTCTGTTATGTCACCTGTCGCTATATCAATCATGAATACTGAATCCTTGTCTTCCCTTCTGGACGCCCTGCGATCTGCGCCCACTGGCCCTGGTAAGTCGCGTAAAGCTTTCCGTACAGCAGACTCGATTTACGGAATTTTTCGTCAGATGCCAAAGCGGCAGCGGACAAGGTGGCTCGTGAAGTATCGAAAAAAGGTCTACAGTCGCTAGAGTGAGTCATCTTGTATCTGCGATACCCGAAGGCCTGACGAAAAGTATTGCATCAGAGACGATGGTGTCCTGGCCGCACTGCATGGCTTCGCCACGAACAAGAAGTCCGGATACGAAAGAGAGTCCGCCGCAATCGGGTTCCAGTCGCTAGCAATTACATTAGGTGTACCGAGTGGTCCCATTCTCCTTTCGTCCCTCCCCATTCTCTACGAGCTCTACATGGACAAGGGCGATGTAGTCCGCTCAGCTGCTGCAAGTGCGAACAAGGCCATCTTGAAGCTTTTCCCGCCGGAGTCAACGAGATTAGTCTTTGGAACGTTACAGGAGGTGCTCGAGAAAGGGAAATGGCGCAGTAAGGTCGGCGCATTGGATGCGATCAAGAGCTTTGTGAGCACTGCTCGCGATGCCGTCGCGAACGAACTCGTCAATATATTACCTGCGGTTGGATCTGCTATGCACGATACAAAGCCTGAGGTACGTTGAAATGGTATGCCGTCATTGAAGTTCTCTTATGCCCTGGCCTCCAGGTTTCTTCCGCAGCGGTCAAGTGCGGTAATGCGCTCTGTACGACTCTAGCTAACCCAGACCTTACCCCTCACATTCCAATGCTCGTGAAGTGCATGCAGAATCCGGACTCTGTCCCGGCTTGCATCAAGGCGTTGTCTTCAACAACGTTTGTATCCGAGGTCACGGCACCAGCTCTGGCCGTCCTTGTTCCACTGTTACTTCGTGCCCTCAATGACCGGAGCATGGAGGTGCAGCGCAGAACAGTAGTGGTAATCGATAACCTTGTTAAGCTTGTCCGTGATCCGAAAGTTGCCGCTACACACCTAAGCCCGCTTGTCGAGGGTGTTGAGAGGATTGCTAAAGGCGCCGCCTTCCCAGAGGTAAGTTCTGCGGTATAGCTTATCATCAGACACCCACTGATCATCCTATGGCAGGTTCGCGCTTTCGGGCAGACTGCTCTCGATACTCTACACAAAGCTGGCGCATCTGCGACGGCGCCTCCACCTATTCCACGTGATCTCGAAGCCGAGAAGGCTGAGACGACCTCAGTCCTTCTGACACTCTTGCCGCAGGAACTGGTTACGGTATACTCGATAAGTCCGAATGGTCCTCCCACGCCAAAGTTTTCTCTATTCTCTCAAGTCCTACAGTTCGCTGCGTCTTTAGTAGCCGATCTCGTGTATCAGAGGTATTTCCATGATGCTGAGGTGTGGAAGAGGTGTCTTGGCGTCTACGTGGAACCGTGGCTGCCTGCAGGGGAAGATGCCTCATCGTTCGCGGATAGAGTCCGCTCCCACTTCCTTGCTGTGGACCGTGTAAGCCGTTGCTCGTGCACAAGGAGGTGTTTCTTGCTGATGTATGCTTTTGAATAGGCTAAATACGCTCCTACTCAGACTGGTTCGGATGAGGAAGGTGAAGTTCTGTGCGACACGGTGTTTTCGCTCGCCTACGGTGCCTTGCTACTGCTTTCCCATACAAAGCTTCGCTTGATCCGTGGGAGGCGCTACGGTATCCTCGGCCCGAATGGTTCCGGCAAGTCAACATTGATGCGGCAGCTAAGGGATGGCAAAGTCGAGAATTTCCCGCCTCAGGACCAGCTAAGGTGTGTGATGGTGGAGCATTCTCTACAGGGCGAGGACGGGTCATTGTCGGTCATCGATTTCATTGCAGCGGGTAAGAATTCAACGGCTGATATCATGCGATAAGCTTTCTGAGACGCGAGATCTGCAGACAAGGCGCTGGCTGGAGTACCTCGTTCACGGATTCGTGACCAATTGCTCGAGGTCGGTTTCGACGATGCTCGGCAGGCCGAGAATGTTGGAGGCCTTTCCGGAGGTTGGAAGATGAAGTTGGAGCTCGCTAGAGCTATGTTGCATAATGCCGATCTGCTGCTACTTGACGAGGTGCGTATGCCAGCCTGTTTTTGCTTAGGCGAATCTACTCATCGTGTTATGCTAGCCTACTAATCATGTAAGTAGGCCCATATCCCTTCCCTGGTTTCTTTTCTCACAGCTGGATAGCTGGACCGGGCCTCAGTGCAATGGCTTGAGAAATACCTTACTGCGCAAAAGAATGTGACATGTCTGATCGTTAGTCATGACTCCGGGTACGCAGGTACCATGACTTATAGCGCGCAGATGCTGACTTCTGCTAGGTTCTTGGATAATGTAACAACAGACATAATACACTACGAGTCGAAGAAGGTTGGTTGTACATCCCTTCGCTATTACTTCTTGCTGACGCGCGGTGCCCAGCTTGTATACTACCCAGGTAATTTGTCGAACTTCGTTTCCCACCATCCCGAAGCCAAGTCCTACTATACCCTCGCGGCTACCTCTATCAAATTCGCATTTCCGCCACCGGGATCCCTGATGGGTGTACGGAGTAATACCCGGGCAATCCTCAAACTCACCAGCTGCACGTACACCTATCCCGGGAAAAGTACACCTAGTTTATATAATGTTAGCTGTGGCCTGTCCCTATCAAGGTGAGCGATCCACATCGGATGAAACGGCATTGATTTTGGTATTAATATCTCTCGGTCGTCCACAGCCGTGTCGGCGTTATCGGACCCAACGGCGCGGGCAAGTCGACTCTAATCAAACTAATAACAGTCTGTATCGCCCCATTGAACATTACGTAGATACTGAATATAGGACAGGGCGAGACCGAACCGCAGGAAGGGACGGTATACAGACACCCGGCCCTTCGTATTGGGTACGTGGCTCAGCATGCCACGCACCATATAGGCGAGTGGTTATCAAGTAGTTAGAGTATCACGCTGGCTTACACGCTCTATAGAACGCCATCTGGAAAAGACGCCGGTGCAATACATTCAGTGGCGATTCCAAGATGGACACGATCGTGCGTGCTTGGTTCCCGACTTCATCCTTGACCCTCCCTCACTGACGCTGTCCTTGCTGCTCAGGCGAGATTTTGGAGAAAGCCACACGTGTACTGACTCCCGAGGAAAAGGCGCTCTACGAAACTCCCTTTGTGGGCAAGAATGGAACCACTCGGAAGCTCGAGGTATGCTCCACCGTATCTCTAAGTCCCACCTCTCTGAACACCATTCATGTTCCATTCTTTCAGTTGATCATGGGCAGGCAGAAATTGAAGAAGTCCCTGCAATATGAAATTAAGTGGCGGGGTCTGGATCATCGATTCAACACGTGGATTCCTCGGGAGGAGTTGATCTCGAAAGGATTCGGGAAGTTGGTTCAGCAATTCGACGATCTGGAGTCCTCGCGGGAGGGGGCCGGTCAGCGCGACACTTCTCTCCATATTGTTCGCAAACATCTGGAAGATGTCGGCCTCGACGGGGACATCGCCCAGTATAACGAAATCTCTGGCTTATCAGGCGGTAAGTCACATTAAATGGTTGTCACCTAATTCTTTAGCCTGATGGGGCTTGGCACCTAGGTCAGAAAATCAAGCTTGTCATTGCAGCGTGTCTATGGAACAATCCTCAGGTATGCTTTCCATCATCGTCTCTTGGCTGAGGTTAACTTTGGGAAAGATTTGCGTACTGGACGAGCCGAGCAATTTCTTAGATCGCGAAGCTCTTGGTGGTCTAGCAGTCGCTATACGCGACTGGGCTGGCGCGGTAGTAAGTCAAAACTCATTGTCTTCAAGCTTACGCTCGAATGGTTGTTCGTAGGTTATCATATCCCATAATGAAGAGTTCGTCAAGGCACTGTGTAGGTGAACTCAGTCCCAGGAATCTTGCTTGAACTGAACCTTGAGCGATCTAGGCTCCGAGATTTGGCACATTGAAGGTGGCCGGATGACGCAGAAGGGCAAAGTGGCGGTTCTTGAAGACGCCTTCGCAGACGCGAAGTCGCCCCTCGGCAGTGGAGTAAACACGCCAGCTAGGTCGAGGGGACAGACCCCTGCGGCCTCTACGCAGGGAACTCCTGCCGGCAGTGGCGATGAGGAAAAGCCGAATGGATCGACTCAGGCCAAGAAGAAGAAAAAGCTGACTCGCAACCAGCAGAAGGCCCAGGAGGAGCGGCGCAGGATCAGGAAGCTCAACTGGCTGACGTACGGGGGACCGAAACCTGAAGATACTGATAGCGACTAGGTAGATACTCTATACCGCACCATGACATAATTATTCTGCGCAACAGTCGCTCTCCATGCGCAGGTCCCATGTATCATTAATCGTCGCCAGTCTGAATTGACGGAAGCAAACTAGTGTGAACTGCGGCGACAATCATTGGCCGCAGATCCGAAAGTAGATTGAGTAAGAAGATTTAGCACGTGGAGGTGACCATCGGGTGATACCGTAGTGGCCGAGAGTGGCCGTTCCTTATAAGTTCAGAAACGCGAGGCGTATGCCAACGCGACTACCTGGCCACAGGACCTCCGCTGTACGGTGCGAGGATGATCTGACATGGACGAGTGTGTGGCATTGTGCTACTTCGTCCGCAGCATGCACAAAGCGTTCAGTTGCCATGCATTGCCTATGGTGGATAAGGACGTGACTAGACTGCGTTAACGTTGCCGCACGGCGTAGCAGATGCGCGCGGATACAACGAGGATCCGTTTCTCCTGGGCCTATCCAGGATATGTCATTGAACTAAGGCGGGAATCCGTAGTTGACAGACTTCGGCAATATCTCTTGCTGCTCCGTCGTGGACGACCTTGGTGATGATTGATCCAGCGTCAGTATGACAGTGGCTATTCGAGCATGTCAACCGAGTCCTCATCAAGCTCCCATGCTATGTCTGACAGTAGTTATCAGGGGTGGAATGTTCAACCAGGCGCCTTGCCCTGTTTTTGGGTCTCCATCTGGCGTGAGTCGATGGCGCGGCGGTGTATACTGTACTTACCCTTACCCTTGGTGCAGTGCAAGCCTAAGAGGCCCCTTTTGCGCAGAGGATGTTGCAGTCCACCCCGCTTTCAATCTTCTGCCTATGGGGGCTGTCCCTCTCCCTCGAAAGCAAAGCAGCGCGAGAGCGCCTAGATAACAGCGCACTGACGGATATCTGTGGTCTATGGACTATCCACATTCAAAATGGACACAGTTGTGCGGAGGTGAACGTACAACCTGCATCCTTTTGGTCCACAATCATGACTGATGACAGAGGATGTCAGATTATTGGTTTGTGTGCCCTGCGCTGCTCTTCCCGGAAAGTTAAATGCCAATATTTTCCTGTTATCCTGGTGCTTATTCTGATGCCCATGAACCGGCGCCATGATGTGCAGAATGGCCGCCGTTGAATAGTGCGGGCATGCCGCATTTTCCATGCCGAACCTTTTTTTCCCTCCCATTCGGTCGAGTCTGATGTTCCAGAGCGCTTTGCGTCAGCTCTGGATAGAAGCAGTTCCATATCCTATTCCACGGAAACTACAGTCTCGACATCCTTCACACGTTCCTAAGGCGTTCTCCTTTTCCCCTACCCTGTCCAAAGGTAACATTATCGATCGCCATCCCTATAGTACACTCTCCGCGGTACTCACGTCAGTCCTTCGTTGCGAGGATATGGAGACACGTCCCACGTCTGGCCAACGGAGCGCGGGTGCCCGAGTGCTGGAGCACGGCTGCATTCGGGTCGACTAGGCTGTATCATTAATCCCGCAACATGGGGATACTCCGGATGGACTCCCTCATCATTTCAAGTGGGAAGCTCAGTGGTAGTGTTTCTTTGAGCGGTACGTACGATGACCCTTACCATGCGCTAGCATTCACGTGCTCTTCATCGGATTCCCTGTGTATCGGATTATCCCGTATCTGCTTCTGTCATCCATCGTAAAGCTTCAATCGGGCATCGATAGATTTCGTTCCATTTACGGCTCAAGGGGCACCGCCATCTGTCCAAGAACGCGGACAAGCAGACGTTTTATTAATGCCATAATTCATAGTATCTCAATGGCATATGCTTCCGTCTATTAAACTTCTCTGCTATTTATGATCCGGCTTCGCGATTTAATACATCTCGGGTTGCCAGCGACGACGCTCTCATATCGGACGTAATCCCCCATTTGCAGCCTGGAAGTTGCAGACGAGCGGCCAGCTTGCAATAACATTAACGACAGATGACGGTAATAGTAAATATAGGCACGAGATGATCCAACCCGAACAGGGAAGAGGAGAAATATCCGAGACCGAGAACTAGAGCCTATGTACGATACAAGGAATGTCCTTAATACAACGTGATGCAAACCAGAATCAGGAAGTCCGTGTCGTCACGAAAGAGAACAAAGAGGACATTAAGGAACATGGAGTAACATGAAAGCAATAGAAGAACATAGTGTAGGGCATGCGCATTGCGGAACAATCATAGCCATAAAGAGGTTCGAAGAAAGGTGATATGAATACCGTCTAGCCAGTGGAATGCATCGATGAAATCAATATCCACGGTTCCACTTGCGCGGGTCACCGCCGTGCTCATTTGGACTGTGCACACGACGTGGCGCGGGTGTGGACTGAGGGCTACGACCCATGCTATGGAAGGCCACGCCCTCCGGTGAACGCGAGATGTAGGAGCTGCTTGGGACAGCTCGGGCAGAGGACATCGGTGGAGTGGGAGAACCGACGTATCCCGCAGGGGATACAGGACTGTCTATAGGGCCATGCGACGGGAGAGGATGCGAGCTCAAGTCGTTATGTGCCGTAGTGGTAGGGTTGGCTTGACGGTTGCTCTGGCGCATCGCCTGTCTCTTGTTCTGGAACCTAGCCAGAAAGTCGACTCAATATTACGTAGAGTCGCAACTAGTCCGGACGTACCAGATCTGTACACTTCTCGCGGACATATCCAGCTTCTTGGCCAGTTCTTGTCGTTCCTCCGTAGAGGGGAATGCCGTGCGCTGGTAGACGTCGTTCAACACCTTGAGCTGAGCAGCGTCGGCCCTCTTTCGCTTTTTCTTGATGGTGGATTCGTTGACCGGCGTCTCAGGCTCCACATATGCAGGACCAGGTGGTGGTATCGGACGAGCGGGTGCGGGGTAAGGAGCGAATGAATGCATTTCATTTCTAGAAGGCACACCTCTTCCTACAGAGATGCGCGGGGGAGGCGCGGAGAGACGCGACGTGGTGTTCACTGGCGGCACAGCCGCTGGTAGATGCCTTGGATCGGGCGCTTCAGGGTGTCCGTAATGCTGGTAAGTGGGATAATGGCCGTATGGATCGGCGTATCCGGCGGTCGGGGCACGTAGGGTGCTGGAGGTCGAATGAGAGGAATGGTGCGTAGGTTGGTGGCCTTGATAATGGGCCGCCCCAGTGTGGGAAGCATGATGGGTGGACATGGAGTTCTGCGGAAGACCTTGCCAGCGCTCGTCGCGGCTACTTTGCGAGGGGATGTTGATTGGGGGCAATCTTAGAGAGTCAGTTGGATTAACATGCGCGAGGGTAGGTGAGGATCGAGATGGATACGAGGAATAGACGGGTTGCGAAGCCTGCCTTGGATCTTGATATACGCCATAGGAAGAAGATTGATGATACTGGCTTGACGCTGATTCCTAGCGGCATCAAGTACGTAATCTGCGTTATATCGAGGATAGACATACCGGTATTAGAAGGCCATGTGCCTTGACCATACGCTCCAGAGCTGTAATCGTTACGGCTCTGAGAAGGCTGTTGTTGCTGATTATAGTAAGTGGGATATGCATTGGGCACTATTTCACAAAGAAGTCCGCTAATTGAGATGAAATGAACATTAATGACTTCGCGAAAGACAGACCTGGAATACGTGAGGTTTGTAAAGCGGTAGAGAGAGGAGGCAACATTGTTCGCCCACCCTGTCCCATGCTAGAGAAACCACTTGATGGAGTTCCTCCTCGACTAGGTCTTGAGTAGCTATCGTAGTAGAGCGCATCGCGTTGGTCGGACATATTAGAGGATAAAAAGTGAGAATAGTGAATAATTACTATGGTGAGTCGTGGATTGCCCCAGGTATTAAGTATCACTGGAACACGCGGTGCTTGCGGCGAATGCAGTTCGAGCCAATTTCCGTGTTATTCGTGACGGGATTCAAGGAGCAGTCGGGGCACAGTGATTCATAGGAACAGCCAACCGTAGGCAGCGCACGAGGCAAGGGCTGGTGTATTGAGCAAGGGGCAAGGCGTACACAAGCTGAGGCAGCGGCCGAAGACAGGCGGTGCTTAAATGGACTTGATCTTGCCAAACTTCGCGTAACGTATCTGGAGGACCGGCGGAGCATTTCAGAAGCTTCGCGGGGTTCAATGATACCCATCGAGCCGGACCAATGCAGAATAGACTGAATCCGAGCAAGCAGATCGCAAATATGCCGTATTGGCAAGACCGTCCCTCTACCTGTGCCCTGCACGCCTTGAACGTGCACAACGTTGACTGGCCCGCCTCGTGGCAAAGGGCTGAGGTGCCACATGTTATGAGTTGTGCGCGTTTGAGCTGTTCAACAGCAGCTCGGGGTGTAACCAGCGTACTGGATGCGCCTCGAGCTGGGTCTGAGAGCTCGAAACCCACTAGTTCGGTGCTTCTGCATCGAGATGTCGAGAATAATATCTGAGACGCCCAACTGACGTTCAGCCTGGGCGCGAACGATCTCGGTTATCCCATAATATCCCATAATGGGAGGCCAACCTAATTCCTTCTCAGGGTCGCTCCCCCGCTCCGGCTGGCTAATACGCTTTAAGGTAGAGGGTTTTAGACTTGGCGAATGAGGATGCGCAATACATGCGAGAAGTCGTCGTCGACATCATCCAGGATCATACAAGTGGGATCTCAATTTACATCGCCCACTATCATATAACATGAGTAGATCGAGCGAGACCGTTAGGGCTCCCGACATCGCGCAGGACGTGTTACAGCGAATCCACTGGTGAGGCCGAAGTTGAGAAGCGGCGAGCTAGCGCAAGAAATTGGCGGAAGCGGTAAGAAGAATGAATAATTGTTTCACGAATTTGTTACGCTCAGGCTCGCACAGAACCTCTACTCGTGATCAACTTAGCACGGTCCTTGCAAGCACGCGAACCATAACCATCTTTCAAATCCGAGCGGAGCTTGACAGCTCGAACAACTAAGTATTCCAAGGGTAGGGTATCCTGCTCCGGCTGAGGGAGGGGCAGCGTGGCAAGAGTGTTCGGGGTCTTTGTTGCCACATGGATGCCACGCGTTGTGGACGGGTTGCCTAATTAGAAGCACTTGCACATCGGAGCAGGTGATGATCTCTGTCTGGTAGCTGTGGCTGAAGCGCTGAAGCTCCTGCCTCTCAGAGCACCATGGCCTACCCGTCGTTTAGGCCCCTCCCAACACCCCCATCTGTAGTATCTGCAGGGTACTTCAATCGAGACGACGACCACGCCGTATATCCCGACGTCTATGCCTATTCAAACCCCTATTACGCCCCTTTCCCTCCGCGCACTCCACCGATCCATGACCAGCCCAGGACGACTCTACCAGGAGGGACTTTGTTGCATAAAGGATTTTATGACCTGCTATCCATGATCCCAACTCCTTCCCCTTCGCGGTTCTTGTGGGGTGGTCAAGGCGACGAGCCTATTGCAGGACCCAGATACGAAGATATAGGAACTAATGCGCGTCCCCCTCCCACTGCACCTGTAGTTATGCCTGCCAGTCCCCCAGGGCCGACGAGGCGAGGAAGGAAAATAAGTAAAGACATGGTTTCTAAGCCCACGGGATTCATGTGCGTCTGATACTTAGCCGCTCTGACCCGATGTTGTACTGAGTACAATTACCGCTTAGACACTTGGTGCATGCCTCAGATGCCGACCAGGCGGAAGCCCTTCTCCGGCGGTGGGGACCGGATGGTATGGGCAAGTTAGGAGGTCAGCCTAAAACTCGGACACAGCTCCTGTGCTGAACTGCAGGATCTAGATCCTCGATGGGCGGACCCAATCAAAGACCGCGTGCGAGCCACCAACCAGGCAAAGGCTGTGAATGAAGTAGTGAATGCATTGAAACCCTCTATGAGCAGACAGGATCAACTGCCGCCGCTCCGAGTGGTTAATGGTATGAGCACCACCTCGTCATCCGTCATAACCACCGCAGCGAGAGAAAATGTGAGCGTCTCACCTACGGTAGACGGCTTACCAGGACAGCCCGGAAACTCCACCATTCGGTGGGGAGGTGGCCTCATGGTTCATCCGGAACACGAACACGAGGATGAGGAGGAGGACGCGGCCTTATTGCAGAAAGATTTGCCCGCTGCCCCTCAGACACCGCGAAGGCCAATAACACCTTCCTTGGCCACCCTGGAGAAAGCCGTCGCCGCTAGGATCTATTTCGAGAACCTTTACTTCCCATTGCTCCGGCAACCTCCGTCTCGCGAGCAGAGAAGACTCGCGATGGAACGCGATATGATGAATATGCAGCTCACCGAGGCTCAGAAAGAGAATCTACGGGCTCGGTGGCGCCAGAATGAGACAGATTATCTACGGGAACGCAGGCGAAAAGTAGATCCGAGCGGCTTCATCAAGCTCAAAACTATCGGGCATGGTTGGTGCCACCCTCTTCTTTGTCGCTCATTGAGTCAAACGGCCCTGTAGGTGCTTTTGGCGTCGTGTCGCTCGTGAGAGAGCGATCGTCGGGCCAACTCTATGCTATGAAGCAGGTCAGTATAGCTTCTTCGCGTTAATCTCATGCGGATACCCGATAGTCATCATTGTGTGACTCAATCGCATTTCTTCACAGCTGCGGAAAACGGATATGCTACGTAAAGGCCAAGAGGGGCATGTTCGCGCCGAACGAGACATCCTTAAATCGGCATCGCTGGTCAGCTCCCCTGGAGGTGCGGAATGGATTGTCAAGCTTCATTATAGCTTCCAGGACCGCGACCATCTTTATCTGGTCAGTTTGTTTATTATCATTGCTCTATCACAGACTATCCCACACCCCCACGGGAAATGAATTCATTGATTTCATATCGATTTCATATCTCTGCAGGTCCTTGACTATATGGGGGGTGGTGATCTTCTCAATCTGCTGATCGAACGCGACGTGTTCGAAGAAGATTTTACCCGCTTTTATGTCGCTGAAGTGCGTACCTGTCTTTGATCCTCTCATGGTAATTCCCCTCTTCCATTCTAATTACGCGCCATTCGCTGTCTCGGGCGCCTGCTCTGCCTATGCTAGATGGTCCTTGCGATCGAAGCTTGTCATAAGCACGGATTCATTCATCGCGACATCAAGCCTGATGTAAGTCCCTCGGTGTCAGCCTACGCGCCCGATGTCCTACGGAGCTGCGCCCCACGTGCCGTCACTTACATTCCAATTTTCCCCTCCTTGGTCCTCCTGAAAGAACTTTCTGTTCGACCCTAGTGGCCACATTAAGCTCAGCGATTTCGGTCTAGCGTACGTCGCATGCGCCATCACCGCCGTCGATGTGGGACTCGGGCTGACGCCTTTTTCATACAAACAGAACGGACCTACATTGGGCGCACGATACCTCATGTACGTTCTTCCTTATTGTGTCTTCGAGATGGCCGTTAACATTTTAAGATGCTTCCATCAGATTACGAACAGCAGCGTTTACACCTCCTCCATAAACATGGCATTGACCTGGAGGACAGCCTTGGCATAGCTGACGGCACGCGGACCAAGCGGATGAATCGCAAAGATGTCGAGATGCTGATGGGTGGTGGGGACGGTCAAGGCGGTATATTCACCTGGCGGGAGAAAAATCGCCGCAAGGTATGTCGAATCAAGCTGCAGGGCTAATCAATGCTCACCATCCGGCCGCCCTATCAGCTGGCTTATTCCGTGTAAGCATCGCAAATTCCCTCGGGGCTTATGCTTAGTCTAAACGTCTTGTAACATTTTTAGATGCGGTACAAATTCATACAGTGAGTACGTCGGATCAACCCGAGTGTGCCTACTTACCGTCAACCCAGTGTCACCGGAAGTCATACGTGGGCATGGCTATACCTACTCTTGCGACTGGTGGAGCCTTGGGGTCATCATGTTTGAGTGCTTGTATGGGTGAGGATTCCGTCGCTGGCCACGAGTGTCAAGCAGCTTACCATCGACGTAGGTATCCACCGTTCGTCAGTAACTCGGTGAGTGCCGACGTCGTGTTCGACGTTTGGTGACCTCCCCAGAACACTAACTCGGTTGATTGTTCGCCTTGCTCCCTCGCGCTATTTGTGGCCCCTTCCGTGCTTCATGTCGTGCGGTTTGTGGCACGCACAGCGCCATGTAACGCGCCAGAAGATCCTGAACTGGCGACAATCGTTACGCTTCCCTTCGAGGCCACGCGTATCCCATGAAGGCGTCGATTTGATGCAGCAGCTGTTATGTGAACCCGAGGATCGGTTGGGGTCTCAAGCTTCCGCATCCACAACTAGACCCAATTCATTGGTCATGCAAGCAAGGCGAAGTGGCTTTGTGACACCCACCGGAATGACGGGCAGTGTAGATGGTGCGGAACTCATTAAGGTAGGAAAGTGGTCATTGCGGCGGCGGTGGGCCTTTCCGTAATGCCCCCTCTGACAACTGTTGGAAGGCTCATCCTTGGTTCCGTGGAATTGATTGGGAGAACATGCATCGTTACCCGGCACCTTACCGTCCCGATCTACGCAACCCCGAAGATACTCGGCACTTCGACCAAGATATTCCTCCAGAGGTATGGTCGCATTGCCGCTTAGCGTGGGATCGCTGACAAAATATTCTTCCAAGCCTCTTGCGCCAGCCAACGGCGCTCCCGCTGACGCCACCAGGGATCCTCTTTTGAGGGACAAAGTCCACGGACAGGAGATTCTCGAAGTTAGGAAAGCGCTTGCCTTCGCCGGCTTCACGCACAAGAGTCCAAGACCAATAACATATGTCCGAGCCGATAAAGCTTTCGACCCTCAACCTGACACATACGGCCAAGAGGAGGCTCAGAGAGGTCGTTCGACTGTTCGCTCTTTACAGGATGTCGGGAAGGGACGAGCCATGTCTCTATAGGTGGACACATGTGGAGGTATCCAGTTATTTTCTTTTGATCTAATGACGTACGATCTCGATACCTTTCGTTGACGGCTATCTAATATCTTGGACTTGTATTGACATTGCCACTCAGCCACTTCGATTCTATGCGCCATCTCTTGACATTCCTCAAATTGCTTTGTGCGTACGTTCCCTGTGCGGCTATATCCCACTTCCACAGCCTCCGTGCTTGAATCAATAATTTAACCGTCTACTTTCTTGCAGATGATGTAATAGGATGACACTCTTGTAATCGAACGATTTTGTCATTATCGAACAGACTGCGAAGCAAACAAACGTGTTCAACGAGAGTTTCGACCACGCCCAATCAGCTCTGCGGCGTATCAACTATTGCAATAAAAATGGCGAATGCCGGCGCGACGCGGTATGCACAGGTAAGGTCGCGTTAGTCCAGGGGTACCACAAATCGCGGAGGGCGACATGATAGTGCAGCAGTCTGAGCACCGGGTTGCTCGGCTTTCTCTACAGGCAGCCCGGCCGGGAGGAAGTGCGAGGGTGGCGAATGGACGGGCAGTGCTCGGGCAAAAATCCCGACACGTTGTGCCGAATCTGTCAGACAGTCAGGTACTGCGGGATATCCTATGAGAACGCCTCGTGGGCACGTCGACTCCAGCTATGCGAACACTGCGGTTGGGCAAGAAGTGTTCGAGGCTTGGCGAAGAAGCAGGCTCGCGCTCGCGGCAGTTAGGAAAGGTCGTGATGGGTGAGCGTGCTTGTGTGTATGCGACGTGGACGTGTGACGAGACCGAGCAAAGAGCCACGACGCGGACGACCCGTACTGTGCGCCGTAGCCGAGGGAGCGAAAGATGTACACTGCCCTGCCTGTCATGCAGTGTTTCAGGGCCTTATTCACTGATGCGCCATGGCAGCCCTTCCCGACAGAGCAGCCGCTCCATACCGAGCCTTAGGCAGAGAGCATCGTCGACGGATGCGGGAAAATATCTTCACAGACGCAACGTGTTTTTGTCGTTTCCGACCGCCCGACTCCTTGTCGAGGCCGTGGAACAAGGGGTCGTGCTGATGCAGTGGTGGAAACGTAGTTGGTGAAATCCATGGTTTAAGTTCTCTCGTCTTCATGGTAACCCTTGGCCACGTATTCACCAGTAGTCGAGATAGTATCCCTTTTAGCCACGCGCGACCATGAGCAGCTGCAGAAAGCAAAGGGGGCCGCGCTCGGGTTTGCTTTCGAATCGTGTAACTTGGGGTGATCTGCGAGGTGAGTGGCTCGGTGTCCACTGATATCATGAGAATGCGGGAAGTAGCCCACTCGCAACACCCGTGCGGATGCGAACAAACCACCGCTGGAAATGCCATAAGTATCATGCTCTGTCAATGAGTGACTGCTGTATGTCCCTTTGAAAATTAGATACGATATAGTGCTCTACCCCAATTCGGATATATTGTTCTGTAATGCCTAGTGGAAGACAGCATTAGCCTGCTCCGAACCCACGGACGACTACAAGGGAATGGTGCCTATGGACAGGATTGCTCGCCTATCTACTGGCTCTTGAACATTGAGGATACGTCGTTTACAAGTCTACTCACTTGACCTCCTGAGTGGACGTGAGGCCACCTGTAAATGGCACAGGATGGCAGCCGCATAACATGTAGTATTGGCGTTAAAACGGAGGATACGTATAGCATGAGCAAAAATGACAGCGACAGCCCCAGCTCTAGTGTGGCATATCGAAGTCTAAGTGTACTAGTCCTTCGACAGACGCCAACATCATCGTGGAGACCAAGGCCTCAGAGGCCTCAACCCCCGGACTCTGGCTCTCACAAGGCTATATAGTCTCTATGCCGAATCCCAAAGGGCACAGTACACGAAGTGGCTACATGGTACTCAAGTGTACGTCTACTCTACATGAGATGCAATAGTGACGGTCTACATAGAATGACAGTGAATAATGATATGAATGATACGTTATAAATAAATGATGAGGATACAGGTGGATGATGGGGTCTCCTTGAATAAATAATATGCAGCATGCGTTAGTCCAATATATGGTGAGTGTGTGCAGTAATAAATACGTGATAGCAAATGCAGAGCGACAGCGGATAGCCGATCCCAGGGATTCAGGAGATGCAAATAAATATGTGAGGTCTTTGCCCGGTAAGCGATCCGCCTACGACGACAGGAGGTGCGGAGAGACCCAAGGGTGCCTACGCCTGGCCCTCTTCCGAAGAGGAACTACGACTGCGACTTCCAGAGCCTTGCCGACGACCGCGCACGTCGTGGCCCGCAGGAGCGCGACCTGTCGTTTGAGACACAGAAACGGGATACGAATACGTGCGAGACGAAGCAGAAGGCCCCATGGCAGACAAGGAAGATGACGATCTCAAAGGCATAGGCGGCGAGCTAGAGACAGAACCGCCACCGTCGCTGCCTTCGGGATCATCACTTGAGCTCTCCCTTAACGACATTGGCGGCTGAGTGTGCACCCGCGCATGTCGGCGCATATTGCTGAGGACGCTAAACGTCCGCCCGCATCCTTCGTACGGACACATGAATGCTGGAAGGACGTATAATCAATACGACGTCGACGTCTGCGGAACCATAACGCACGCTTTTCACCCGTATGCGAATTGATGTGGATCTAGATGCCATTGACGTCAGTGGACACAGGTTATAGACGTGGCTGGCACCTTGCGACGAACCTTCAGGCTACTCGGTCTATTGAATCCCTTATGACAATACGGACATTCATATTTGCCCGACGTAGATCTGTCGACGCCTGTGTCGCTGCCAGATCTGCCCCGGCCGCTCACGCCCCCAGCCGGATCCAATAGTTGACTCCCCGGAGTACCGGATGGATTACGGCCGTACGGGAAACTGCCCTGCACAAACGGCTGAGCGTGAGGGACTGAAGCATGCCGGGTATGCCAGTCTACTTCCGGATTTAGAGTGGAACCTGCCCTAGGGGGTGTACCATGATACGCTCTGTCGGGATAAGGTGGGTTCTGAGAGGATCTTTCTCGAACTGAAGCTTCCGACAATGATTTCGACCGGTAATGGTCGGCTAGGTGTGCGGCACGACCGGGCGTCGGATTCATTGACGATGGTCTATGTGGAGGAAAGGACGAAACGAGTGTTGGCGGCATAGGCAAAGAATGCGAAGTTGCTGTAGATGCTGAAGATAGCGGAGGAAGCGCAGGAAGAGATGATAACCCCAGCGCGGAATGCCCAGCATACCCGCGGGGATATTCGTTTAACTAGCAAGTCGTGAACTGCACGAAGCCTTTGGTTGGTTGAAACTGCACGTACCTGGTAATTGACTTGCCTTGAAGCATGGGCGTAAACATAACGATCGTGAGGCTCTGGCCGACTGCGGTCTTCATCTGAAGGATGCAGACTGAGACGGGCTAAAGAAGTTGAAGGCGAATAATTAGGATCCCCTGGATATGGTGGATGGGGAGACCGAGACAGTTCGTCTAATATAACAGTAAGCACAAGAATCTGATTGGCAAAGCGCATTTTCCAACCTCGAAAGAGATCCCTAATAGGGGGGAGGGTCGTTCTGTGATCAGATTTATTGGCATTATCAGAGGAGTTAGACCGCGACATGGCGAAGTAGAGTATTCGGAGTTTTGGAGAAACGGGGACCCAAAGAGGTCAAGGGCCAGCGCGAAGACGATATAAGAATATAAACAATCGGAGAAAAGATCCTCAGTGGCCTTCTCCAGGAGGAAGTCCGACGAGATGGTTGCTCCAATGATCAACGATAGCAAACGCCAATCATGGGATCCCACGACGAGATGGGAACTTGTGCAACCACGACGTCGAGCCGCAGAGGTTGAATATACCCATGTATATCCATATACGCAGTCCGGTATCCAGGAATTTATACCAAGAGAGACTTAGCCTGGATGATCAGCCATGGTCATAGCACGTACAGGCCCCAAGGAACTAATAGCCTGGATGGCTGGGTTGAGCCAATCCCGCGCAGACGAGTCCATAGCGCGGTCGCCGGTGACATCTGTAGTCGCCGCGACCGTCTCAGATGTGATAACATCGCCCTGGGGGTAGACGACAGCGCAATATGGCGTTGATAGAACATGCAGGTGAGAGGCTGTGGATCACCTTGATCATCAATGGCCATCAACCTCAGACCCATCAGGGCTGAGCCTACACGTGACCGTTCACCCCGACACGTCCGACACAGGATCGTTGGCAGTCGTTACAGCGCAGATGAAGAAGTCGGACTCTGAAGTGGACGTACACAGCATACGTACCCGACACTCCCGCTCTGGCAGGTCCGTCGAATCCGAAGGTCGGAAGTGCGCAAGTTGCGGTCCCGAAACGTGCCATTACACCTTCCGCAGACGTTCTCGTTCATTGATCCAACGGCAGTCGATTGCAAATGATCAGCTAATGTTCTCCCTTAACCAGTGGATCTACGCGCACCCCCTGGGCACACTGCTGATCCTTGACAGGTCCGTAAATGAGGGTATTGCGTGACATCCGCGGCAACGGAGATACTTAGCGGTACGCATGCGCAAATACCCATATTTTGAGGTACACATATTCATACAGTCCGTGATGGTACCGATTAGAGAAGTGTTGAGAAGACCAGCCGAGCGGGATCTGCGTCGCGAGTCTATATTCGCCTGGAAGGCAGATCAAAAAGCGATGACCTGCACAATCTACATATGAGGGCGCGCTAATCCGGTTAGTGGTGAAGAATCAAGTTGAGCCGTCTGCAGATGCACTGCGGATCCACTACCGGGTGGCAAATCATCATATGCACTTCCAAGGCTGAAGCATCTGTACAGCCCTATCAAGACACGCCGTATGTCTCGGACAGCTTCGGACAAAGGAGTGAACACTAAGGACACGCACGGAAATATCCTATGACACGCCATGGATCAAGGGTCGCATCCGTACCCAACGGTCCCTATTCAGGCAGATCGAGCTTCCTCGGGTGTCTTTGTCTTCAGGGAAAGAGCGTGAAGGCCCTGAGCGAACTCGTCCGACAATGCCGAATGAATCATCCGATGGCGTTGCAAGGTGTTCTGCACATCACATAACACAGGTGAGCGCGACGACAACTCCGCGGTAGGGGACGTCGACCTGGCACGTACCTTCCCTCTAAATGCATCGGACACAACCTGGACTGAGAAATCTAGGTCGTCGCCAGCTCAGAGAGGAATCATGATGCCAGGACATCTCAAAACCCGGATAGCGGACGTACGTGTTTCCCCACTCCCACCTCCCTGCGCACGCATTGCGGCGTGATGGCGATGCTGCCACGAATCGTTCGTGATCGTCAACTCGGCGGGTTGTAGCAATGTCGTCAACTGCACAAAGATGATCACCCAAGTGAGGAGGACAACCGTGTTCAGCGTCCTCTGCCCTTGGGGTTATTACTCCTGCCGAGCACTCACCTTCTCACGAATAGACGTCTCCACCGGACCAGCTTTTGTTGCAGCGTCTTTGGTGGCCATGGAGAATCCCCGTCTTGACAGACCGTTGCGAGCGTACAGCAGCGCCCGGTACATTACACGCCGTCCCAAGATATTGTAGAGTCGAAGATGACCAGGACCCCCGATAATCGGTATAAATGCCTGATCCCGAGGACCCATAAGTAGACCCATTTTGTCCGGAAGAATATCGCCGATTTTGGACCTTTTGTCCGGAAAGAAACAGGCATCACAGCGAAAAAGTGGCTCTAAAAGGCAACTGTGGCGCGGGTACGTCTAAATTTAGCTTCCCCGGCAGGTGCCGGGGTAAATATGGCGTCGAAATGGCCAAGTCTGACCAAAATGTCCGGTAAAAAATCAGGCCTATTCTCCAGAATCGGCCGATTTGTCTGTAAAAAAATCAGCCATTGAGGGCTCTAAAGTCCCAAAATTTGTCCGGAACCTGATCAGGCATTTATACCGATTATCGGGGGTCCTAGATGACCCCATAGGTATCGGGACCTGCCCGTGGGAACCTTTCTATTGTGCTGAGTCATACATTTCAAATACCGCTGGTCCACGGGTATATAACGAGGCATCGCCTTATTTAGGATTTACTCTCTTTCGCCCCCACTACCACCTGCGCAACACGGTCGGCCAGTGTTGGCACAGGATAGTCTTCAATCAGGCCGTGTTTTTGTTTACCCAAAGTTTATCGTATCTTAAATCCTCTTCATACCACCTACTGCATCGGGTTTCGATCACCCTCGAACCCGGTAGCGTTCAAGTCTCCGATACATCTGTGTCGTCGAGCTTGCGTACCCGCTAGTTAAGCCAGTCGGAGAAGTCATTTGGGTTTTCCCGACCATTTGCACCTGGAGCCCTCGAGCCCAGTGTATCCTGCCTCGCCGGACATCAGGTTGCTGCGAGCCTTGACTCAGCGCACCTTGTCTCTGTTTCGGACGACTTTCCTCGGTGAGGTCGTCTGTCACGTAAATCCTGCCGAACTCCCCAGCCCCGGGTTCCATACGATCCTGTGTTGTACATACCAGACGTCGAAATCGATACGAGAATACACGAGAATCCTCGAGCCCTTTGCAACGAGCGCTGTAGTGCCTGCGAACACAGAATTGTTCCTCAGAACTGCAACTTGCACAATCGTGAAAGTTCCAAGTTCCAAAGGGAAACTGTACAGGGCCCGCGACATCAGTATTCTTGTTTATAAAAGGTACTGAACCGCCACTAGCGCGTTTTTCCCACGCTGACCTCATTAACCCACAGATATGCCGCCATCATCCTATGCGTCAAATTCCAATAACCGAACGCGCCCACGCCACTCCTCGCGTCCTCAAGATGAGGGCAAGTTGACCAAGTCGCCTTACTATCGCATTGTCGAGGATCGCTTCTCCAATCTCACTGAAGTCGTCCTCCGAAACAGCGATGGCGACCCGTCGCGATTGCCGCCGAAGCAGAAGACTTTCAGGGTAGTAGACGAAGACGGGGAAGTGAATTACTTGGAGGAGGCAAACGAGAAGATCGAGAAGCATTGGAGGAAAGTGATTGGGAGGTTCCTTGCTAAGGAGGTTTTGGAGAAGGATGGATGTAAGTGATTCGTATTGTTCTATGGGCAAACCCCTGACGCGTTTCGTGTCATCAGGGCGTGGCAGGCGTGATAACTGCCTGCTACAAAGTTTGCCCGAAAACTACAGGCTTTACACGCACAAGAAGGGCGACAAAGACATACCTAGAACGGACGCGTATCTCTTTGGTAAGTCATCTTCACACTTGGAGTTCCTTCGTCACTCACCGTCCCTGTAGGTGGTCCACATAAGTTCCGCTCGCCCGAAGAGTTCTGCCTGCATGCGCGATGGCTTGCCCTCGGCTCTCCGACTAAAACATTCACCAACAAGCCCGACTGCGCGTGCGTATACTGCGATAAGCGGTACACGCAGAAGCAACTCAACAAAATGTGGGGAATCGTTTCTGCTACTCCCGCGCGGAGAGGTCCTAGGAAGAAGAGCGACGGGTCTACTACAGATTGGTCAAACATATGCGCAAAAGACTACACCAAGCTCAACACCGCCACTCAGCCCTCAACTGTCATTCCTCCGACACAACAGCAGCCATCCAGCGACACCGCCGCAGGTGATCATGAAGTCTTCAACCCCCGACCTGTATTGTGCAATCTCTGATTGCTCATTTGGTCTCTGATTTTGTCCAGTGCCACCTGATTGCTTTCCCCATGACGCGTTTCCCATTCCTCTCTTTCATTTGCTATGAGGTCTTCCACTCCTAGCCTTTATCGTTAACCGCTAATTGATCAACTTCTTTTACTCGTGTCCCGTCGTCTCTGTATACTGCCTTCTTTCCTCATGACGCGTTTCCCATTCCTCTGTTCTTATTCTGTTCATTATCGTTATTATGTATCTCTCGCTCTTATGGTTCTTTAGTCGATTACTCTCACGCAGTTCACCTCGTAGAATGTCAAAGATGCCATGGCATATCATTTCCCTATGTTTCGAGTTAGAGAATCCGTGTGCGGGGGCCATATAAGAAAGCGCGTTGTATGTGAATGCCACAAATCTATGTCACGCTCTGTTACGATCATGTCACAAGGAGGTTAGCACTGCTTACGACCGAAACTCACAATGGCTACCATCTTGTCCCCGTCCTCCACGATCCTTACCTCTCTTTCTCCACTGTCTCGTACAAAATGCAAGCGAATGCAGAGCTAGAGCCCTCGGTGCACATCCGCGAACTTAAGAAGGACCGAGTGAACTTCGTTCTCGAGAATGTCGACCTTGCGTGCGTGGTTAAATGGACTGGCTCCCATACCCCGTACCTAATCTTTTCCACCTTGTTTCAGGTTCGCAAACTCCCTAAGACGGGTTATGATGGCCGACCTGCCGACAGTAGGTTCGTGAGTCTGTGGCTGTATGCGTCGCGACCAGCAGAACCGAATCTTGCCTGGACACTGCAGCGATCGACACGGTAGAAGTGGTATCGAACACTACGGTGTTACCGGATGAGTTCATTGCACATCGGCTGGGAATGATTCCCCTGGTAAGCGCGAACTGCGACGAGGCAATACGGGAGACGCGGGTATGTCACACATTCTCTCGGGAATCTGAACATCGCAAGGCTGACGTCCAACCAGGAATGCACATGCGACACCGCATGTGAATACTGCGCGATACCACTCAGTCTGAATGTTGCATGTCATGACAGTCGAACCCTCGACATCACGAGCAACCACCTGCAATATGATCCCTCCGTTTTCAATCCACAGCAGGAGTCTGGAGCCGAAGGTGAAGAGCTGACAAAACGTGTGGATAACTTTGGACATCCCGTAGGCAAGAGTGAGTGTTGCTATAGACTGTCTCGGAACGTTCCCGATAACCACGACTGACTTCGTTGTCGCTACTGTTCCTGCAATCTTTAGATGATCCATCTCTCCCTCCAGTTCTCATTGCAAAAATCCGTAAAGGACAAGAGCTTAAAGTCAGGTGCCTTGCCAAACGTGTCAGTATATCCAATCCCTTCATTTCATACGCAATAAAACGTCTCCTTTCCTTGACCCTAGGGTTTAGCCAAAGAGCACGCAAAATGGTCTCCCTGTTCTGCTGTTGCCTTCGAATATGATCCGCATAACAAACTCCGGCATACTACGTACTGGTATGAAACAGATCCCCGTGCTGAGTGGCCTCTATCAGACAATGCTCGGGAAGAGGAGCCTCCGAGAGATGACGAGCCGTTCGACTTCAATGCGAAACCCCAACGGTTCTATTTCGAGGTGGAGACAGATGGCAGTTTAGGTCCGCAGGAAGTCGTGATGAAGGTAAGTAAGCATCCGTCAGCCTCCTGCCACTGCGCGGAGTCCCTTGAATTTATCAACATGTAACGGATCACGTCTTGATACTGATCAAATCACCACTTCCCTTCATCACGTACAGGGTTTGCACGAGCTACAGCGGAAATTGGCGAATTTGATAATGCAGTTGAAGAACGAGCAGGAGCCGGAGCTGAACGGGGTCAGAGCACTTCCAGGCGCGGGTGACCCAACCATGCCCCAGCCTCCAGCTGCGACCAACGGCTGGGGTGCTCCGGGCGGGGGTACATGGGGCAGTCCAAACGGTACGACAGGCGGCGCCACTAGTACCTGGGGTGGCAGCCCAGCCGCTGCAGGTGCCTGGGGGACGGGTGCGAGTCCCGCTGGCAGTGGTGGATGGGGGAACAGCGGCAGTCCCGCTGCCGGTGGGTGGGGAGCTAGCAGTGGAAGCCCTGCCGCCAGGGGCTGGGGCAGCCCAACGCAGCAAGCCAGTGGTTGGAATGTATAACTATTCCTACTTCGTTCTGCTATCATGCTCACCTTACTGCCGAGATGTATGCTTTGATATTCGATGTGTTAATAGTGAGTGTAAATAGTGATGATGTGGCTGCGAAACGTCCGCCTAGTGAAGATGCTGCTATTTTTACAAGTCCAAGTTAGATCACAGCAGGTCAATCAAAGCAACATCCACAAAGATTCTATCTGCCTGCAGACAGTTACGGTTGTCGTGTGAACTCCTGCGCGCGCGGAGTAGTTGCGTCCCTCTCCTCCGGAGGCGTTGCTACAGGCATTGGCGGAGGGGGTAAGGGGAAGTTGGGAGGCGCAGCCGGCGGTTGAGATCTGACCGTCGAAGTGCTCTTCGTCGAGACTCCGCGGCGAGGATTTGTCATGTGTACCTATTGGGCATTGAGGTCAATTGGGTCTGTAGTACAAATTGCAACAAGGTCCTTACTTCATCTCCTTCGCCCCAAACGTCCTCCGAGTCACCCGCTGCGAAAGCAACCGGAAGGTGAGAGACTGTAAAGCAGATGTAGAGGTGGATCCTTACCAAGCTCTGCGTTCTTATCCGTCAAATTCCATCCGCCCTTAGGCATCTCAGGTCCAGCTTCTTTATCGTCGGGCTGTTGGGTCGCGAGCTTTGCCTCATCATCACGTTCCACCTTGTCCCAAGGTACAAGCGTAATTCTCGAAGGTGCTGGGATGGCATCAGGGTTTCCCTTAGGCCCGTAGATGTGACAATCAGCCAAGGCGGTCTTGAGAGCACAGATCCACTTGTTGCGTCTCCGGGCTACATCCATAGCAAAGAGCATGAGAATGGAAAGTGTGTGAGGCTATGTAACTAAAGAGACGCACCTTTGACAGCACCTTGCTGCCAGTTGCTCTTATACTTGATGTCAGCCTGGCAAGTCATCTTCTCTTGATCCCCAATATCTGCGAAGCAACCCTTGAACCCATGCTTTCGTTACTTGCACAGATGCTCCTCACCGGCTACCGTGACATCAAAGACCGGCTGGTAGTCTCTCCGCTCTTCTTTGACGAAAGTTAACATTTTATCTCGCAACTGCTCGAGTTGCTCGAAAGTCGTTGAATAATCAACGTCAAACTCGAAGGTCTCGGACATCTATAATCTAGTCAGATATATGTTTCGGCGATATAGTTGCTTATCACTCACTTGGCCGCTTCGGCGGATATTTAAAATGAACTGTACGTGATATGTCAGACACGGGTCTCTCGTCCACTGTCCTGTCTGACCTTCCCGTTAAGAATGGTATTGGGAGCCAGCACTTGACAGCCTTTGCCGTCCGCAAACACCGTCGTGAGCAATCGGATCTCCTTAACTGTATAACTGGCTTTGTCGATATCCACGCGGTCACCCACGTCGAATGGATGCTTGATAAACAGGAAGATTATGCTGGTCAAAACTTCCTGGGCGCTGCTGCCAATCAGCCAACTCAAACCTATCAAGCCTGTCAATCACTATGTGGTACACGACAATATGGCCTACGCACCAAGAATCAGGGTTCCAGCGCCCGTCACGAGGGTAGTAAGTTGCGTGTCCTATCGGTGAAGTTAGCAGATACTCAGAATCCCCTTGAGCAAAATGAAACCTCACCAATGCGACCGCAACGATGAGAGCGGCTACGACGACATACAAACTCATGAAGATGTTGTCCAAACGTCCCACAGCACTGTCGAGGTCTCTCATTGAATGCTCTATAGACAGTTGCTCTCGGTGGTAGTCCCTGCAATTATAATGAGAAACAGAAGAAATCGATAAGAGTCAGTAACTGACATGCAAGCGAGTTCCACCTCGTCGCGAGATGCATCCCCATTGCCATCCTTGTCGAACAAGGCAAACGCGGCATCCGCGTCTTCAGGGGTTGGGAAAAAGCGTGCAATGTCTTGTACTTCAAGGTAGTCGTGGCCGGGCTTCACAAATGAGTAGAATAATCTTCGAGCAAGCTATAAATGAGGGGTTCGATTGTGGGACTGACGTCAAACGATGCCTCTGCGACGTACCAGGCGTGACTTGTTTGCCGATTCAAGAGCAGTCTTCACCTTCGCTTCCGGAGAATTGGGTTGCAATACGGAGCTGTTGAGCAGACGAGAGACAACGTCAGCAAATTGAACGATACGGCTCTACTACAAACAAACCTCCCAGCCATTTCGGACGCAACGTTCCCCAGGGCGGTTGTAGTGGTGGTTGCAGCATATCTCACCCCTCGTAGTGCTCGCTTGAAAAATCTTCTCGGGTTGATGGTAGCACGTTTATCTAGTGGACCGTCTCGCAGAGTATCTGAACGGCCAGGGATGTCGGCTGAATGGCGGTACAAAATCGTCAAGACCTTGATAGCAAATTTCTGGTCGGCGATACGCTCTGGAAGCGGAAGAAATGAATACCCCAGAGTGAGGTGAGAACCGAACCACATACCTGCATATGACCTTTCGTGGAACTTGCCCGCTATCCACTGGATCGAGAACTTCTCAAACGCCAAGACCGCGGCACATATGTAGATGGCGAATAACAGTTTCGCGATGAAAGAAATTACAGATCTCTCCCTGTCGCTCCCGTCGCCGTCGTTGTTATTTATGATCGAATTAAAAGTGATCCAAATAGCCAACGTCCATGCGAATAGAGCCACGTATCTGGGATGAGATTCTTAGTCAGATGTACGATTGGGTGACAGGGAGAGTATTACACGAACCTATGCAAAACATCCAGCCAGTCAATGTATCGGCGGCTGCCAACTGCTACAATTCCAACAGTAGCACGAGCTATTCGGGGGAGAACACGGCTGTTGCAGGCTGAGATGAGCGAAACAGATGGCACGCTGAAGAACGACGCACGCTGTGGCTAAAGCAGCCCACCATCCTAAGATAAGCAAGCGAATTAGCCGTAGATTGTGATGCATGGACATTTCGCTATACCTCCCCAAACAATGCTCAGCCAGATGCTCCAGAAAACCAAGCGCACGCCCCAAATCTGTGGCAGGTCAGCTTGGAGCGCACGAGTACATAACATCTATACCCACCTCGGCATGGGGAAAGGTGGTGAGACCCAAGATACCCGGGATCCACACCAGAGCCATGACTGGGAGGATGAAGATGGCCCATCTCGTGACGATTGAGACGTTCAAGAGGTAGTTGTAGAGTCGAGAAAACTTGGCGGTAATGGTTAAGACATAGTCGCAAGCTGAAGGTTTCTAGCACGCACCTTGTTCTTCGGGATGTCTCCTTCAGCGAAGGCCAAGTGACTCTGGCTTGCATTTCGCGAGTCAAACTCCGAGTAGTCATGCTCAAACTTCCGAATGCCTGCAAGCACATCCCAGCTTCCACTGCGGCTATACGCAGGCTTGTGACCTGGTCTAGTCTCCCCTCTCCCGTTTTCAGGATCGTATGCGCCACCTCCGCGCACGGGGTCGGGCATAACATGGACATGCCTACTAGAGTCATTTGGCGCTGGAGGGTAGCGTGTAATGCCCGGACCGTCGCCGCTGAGCGGGGCATTGGAATGATTTGAGTCTTCCGAGAGCGCCGACATGGACTCTCGTCGGGATCGGACGCTACGACTATTCGAGTAACCAGCACTTGCAGGTCCTGCTTGAAGCTCTACCGGCTCGTACCGTGAATCCATGGCAGATGCGGCGGTGCTTTATTTGCGTCCAGCACAAGGAACCGAACAAGACAGGGATATGTTTAGGACAAGGCGACCGTCAGTTTGTTGCCACCACCAAAGTTGACAAGTTTTCCGAGAGGTTTGTTCCCTACGGCCACCGTCGTCGCTGCATAGGGAATAGGGGCTATTCAGAAGCACCGGCACGGCTGTGGTTAGATTATCCTACTAAGATCGGTCCTCCGAGGTCGCGTTGATGATTAACGTTGCATTTTATGGAATGCTACTTGGATATTACTGCGCAGGACTTAGGTGAACCTCATGACTCGAGGTGGGGCACCACCCGACGACCTCATCTCTACTGCCTAGATACTAATTGGCAGGAAGCTGTGGCGGCCCGCGAGACGATATATAGAACATGTGTGCCTTCGTTATCGGACGCCAAACTTGTTGGGATACCCTCCGGTCACAACGAGTCCCGTACGGTACGGCAGCTCATAGCAGGATCTAAGCGGCATGCCCAACGATCTGACTTGCGGAGGGTCTCGCGTATGCCCAACTCAGGCTGCAGTCGAATTGCGGCGCGTTATCTATTTAGCTCTATCGGTTGCGCTCGAATTTACGCTCCTAAGAACCAGTCGGAACAAGAGTCGAAGGCGTCTCTTCTTGGCATTGGCAGCTGAAGGGACCATGTCCTCCGATTTCCCTACAAGGCACTTCCCAAGGGGGCGCCTAGTCCGCACTTAGCCCTGGACTACCCTCACAATCGTCGATTGACTCAGTCTTGTGGCACCTGTATACTCTAGAACATCTGTCGCCCAGGTGGATCCAATATTTCAGCTGCTAAAGAGCATAGGTTCTTAGTCGCCCAAGTACGGTTGACCATCTGGGTCAGGTCAAATTTAAAAGTCACTGACTCACATTGCGACTGCTGTGTTCGATCCCCGGTGGGGTGGATGGGGATATTGGGCGGAGTTTGAATTGTCGCAATCCACTCAGCGGACGAGGGATACTGAGGGGGCTACAGTAAAAATGTACTACGTCTTGACAAGACTTCATCCGGACGCTCCTGAAGAAGTGTGACGCAAAATCTCTACACGATATGAGCCTATGCTTGTCGTAAGAGATTTGTTGCTGAGAACATACGACGGGAGTTGCCGATATTTGAAGCTCCGCTCCACCAAACAAACGGTCAGCTGCAGTCTTGTGTATGGGTATGTCGCGCACTAGGCTTTTGTAGTATAATATTGGGGCGTTCTATAAAGAGATACTGGAGTACCCGTGCTAGGGCTAGTGACCTCCAAGAGAAGAACACAGGCGGGGAGCTACATTAAGCAGCCACAGCGGGATATCAGTATCGGCAGGTGGACTGTGCAGCCCGAGGTGTAAACGGTTGTGAAGCATTAAAGGATACGGTTAGTACTAATGTGCACTAAACGGTACCGATAAGTCTTTCCGCCCGTCGCTCCCCGAAATATGTGGGCTGGGGATTCGCATCCTCTCGGAGTAGTGGTCCCGTGCCTCTTCCTCTTCTCCCTTTTACTACAGCGATATTGATTATCGAACAGTCACTACTGACTGTAAAATTCAGTGCCGCGCTACGTACATAATATTGATAGATGTATTCAACCTTCAGAGACTGTTTCGGGATTGGCCGAAAGCTGTCAACGCCGAGGATCGAACCTAAGGCAGCCTCGAAGTTGTGAGGCGACTTCTGAATTTGACCTGGCCCAGATGGTCAACCGTACCAAGGCAAACCTATCAGGCACGTGCACTATTTCCGTCCTTCATGCTCGCCCGGCGCCACTGCACCAGCTTGCGGGGCACTTCATGCTCTACTTGGTCGCATTCTCAGCTCCTGGTGTCATGAGGATATTCCATCGAACCCGAAATCATTCATCAGCTGAACAGCAGCCCTACACGTGTCTGGAGTTAATCATCGATGGTCAAGATTGTGTCTTCTCCCGCAAGGCACGGGGAAGGAGACACCGAACTAACTAGATGGCCCGTCCCCGTTCGTCGATCGTGTGCCGGATTGATGTCCGAGATAC